CATGCATGAGTAAAATCCGATTACAATTATTAGAAGAACACAAGTGCGTCATCACTTGGCGGAGTATATAGTTATAATTCACTGGCGATCGCCGCATACTGGGGGTTTAGGATTTAGTAGCGTGTTAATATAATAGAGAGAATAGAAAAAATGTTTATACCCAACAACTTATATACTTAGGGTGACATTACAGAACGTCTGCAACTTTGCAGATCTGCAAATATGGCGGCAACTTTGCAGATCTGCAAATATGGCGGACTTACAGATGCAAGTATCCAAAAAATATCTGCATATTCCCAATATTTATTACCCCTAACAACACTAAGTCCAAATCCACCCTTAAGAAGGTTAGAACATCCTACAACCATAAAGTCTTCTGTTTCTTTAGATTGAAAACAGTTCATGGTGTCAGATTATCGAGTTTTTCAACATAGTAATGGATTTGGGTTTAATTTTGTTGGGGGTAATAAACCACAATAAATATTGCGAATTTTCAGATTTTTTTTGGAATAAGAAAACTTGATACTTGCATCTGTAAGTCCGCCATATTTGCAGATCTGCAAAGTTGCAGACGTTCTGTAATCTCACCCTTATTCTTTATCAACTGATAGTTATAGATAATATGGCTAGGTGAAAGTTAAACTGGTCCAAGTTACATTTTTATTATAATAGATATAATGACAGCTAGTGTCAATGTATCAATGCTAAAGAGATATATCTCGACATACAAATACAAATGTAAACATCTTGCATTTTCTCCAAAAAGTTATTTTGCTCTTTAGACCAGTTTAGCTCAAGCGCGTAGCTAGGTTGTTTTCTTGGGGGGGTAACACTTTTCACATTATTGGTGAATGCGCAGCGTGTTATCTTCGAATATGGTACCAATGCAACATCTAGAGTTCATATGTGTATTTCCAGAAAAAAGAGTGAATTTTATAATAAAGTTTTTAATTTTTTATATATTTATACTGGGTGTTGTAGAATAAAGTACCGTAATTTTGGGGATTTGTAGATCGCTTAATCAATTATAAAGAAAAGCTAAATATAATTTTCCCAGTTTTCATTCTACAGAGTCAATTTCATAAATGCATTTTTTCTAAATATCTTCCCTTTCAGTAAAGACTTTAACTTAAAAATATGTATATGATAGGTAATCGTTATTATTAGTTCACACACTATTTCGATAAATTAACATAAATCATTGACGTAGAATGAAGGGCTAAAGAAACAATTTTATTCAAACCCTTTTGAATACCCTACATTTCGTAAAACTTAAGATTAATAAATATTTCTAACTCCATTTGACTATTCCATTTCCGAGGAGATAGACCTGATTTATTTTATACAGAGTGTTTTGAAACATGTCATAAATATGGCTAATTTTAAGTTCAATTTAGTCAATTGTATCAAATGCAACACACTGTATATTATTTTCGCATAAGATTCCTTATAAATTTACCTATCCAACGATACCAGCATGTCCCAATAGTGCGTAATTGATGGATAGCTGTTTTATTATAGGAAAAACAAATTGCATGACCATGTTTAATAAATATTCTTAAATAAACGAGGGGCTGACCAAATTTATACATTTTTATATTTGTTTACACATCGTCAAACAACAACTGTAATAGACTTCATTTATTTGCTATGTTGTATAGAAGGTGTTTCAAAATGAGGGGTAACGATTTTCTCATTTGTTTAAATGGAATACCGTATATGTCATACCACCAATTATTAATACATGGTATTCCATTTAAAAAATTGAGAAAATAGTTACTCCTCATTTTGAAACACCCTATATACAACATAGCAAATGAATGAGGTCAATTAAAATTGTTTGACGATGTAAAAACAATCAAATATGTATTACTACCTGCTTTAAAAAAGTATAGATTTAGTCAACACCTCGTTTATGGACCACCCTGTATATTTATTAATATTTGTTAAATATGGTCATACAACTTTTATATTAAACATTTCTTCGAATTTCTAATAATAAAACAGCTATCGATCAATTATGCACTGATAGGACACCCTGTATATGTGTTATTGACTAACACATTGGTATTGTTACATGGGCAAATTTATAGGGAATTTTATGCCAAGATAATATACAGTGTGTTGCGTTTGAAAAAATTGAGTAAATTGAACTTAAAATTAGCCATATTTTAGACATGTTCCAAAACACTCTGTATAGAATAAACCAGTTGTATCACGTCTATTCGTTAGCTTAGTATTTTATAAGTCTGCATATTTAACAATTTTTAAATTAATGTAAACCTACCTAAATTATGATGATTTAATTTGGGGTCTGCATCATTCTCTAATTAAAAAAAAAATAAATTGTTTGGTAACACTGTAATATTTTTTAAAAACATTCTAGGGTTAAATACAGTATTCCCAAGCAATTCTAAAAATAAAATATAGGGTGTTCTATTTAAAAAACATAATTTTTATTTGTCAGGCAAAACCGCAACACCCTGTATATCCAAAAATATTTTTAAAATATGTATTTTTCAAATCCATATAACTTTTTTTAAAATTTGTTTGCTTATCAATAACACAAATTGAAATATTGAACAATTACGAACTATAATGGGACCCTGTATATAAATTTTAATTTTTAATTTGCAGGAATATTAGGTACTATTTTAGATGAAAATGTTTGAGAAACTCTTTGTTTTATTGTATTTATTTTATCTCTCTATTTTTGTTTAATATAACGTTTAAAAAATATTGATGTTGGGGGGCTTGGGGGGGTAATTACCCCCATTGCCCCCTCCTTATCTACGCCCTTGGTTTAACTCCCACCTAGCTATATGTATTTGATATTCGAAATAATGGTTATGATGTAGCGGTGTTCTTCTAATCGAATTCTACAAGAGATATTAAATCTAAAAATAAATCTAAAAATTTTGTAATAACATTGATTTATTCATAGGTACCTATATTCACTCAACTTATGCAAGCAAAATTAGTTGTAAGTTTACTAAAAATTGATTTACCTATCTACTAAATAAATCTAGGTATTTAGGACTAAACCTTTATCAAATATTTTGTTTCACTATCTAAAACTTATAACTAATGAATATTTCTAGCACATACCTATAAAAATCACTGTTTTTTTTTAAGTTTCATAAATAGTGTCTTGACACTCACAAAGTAACCACCATCTTTTAATTATATATTCAAGTAATTTCTTGATTGGACGTCGTAATGTGGATATTCGAAAATCGCAGACTTCTTGATTCAAAAATTATTATAAAACAGTTTTTGCCAATGATATATATAGTTATATAGATTGCTCATCAATATATAAACAAGACGGCGAAAAAGGGTCGTATTTGGTCGTATTGCAGATTGCAGTCGATCACCAGGCAGAATCTCTGGCCGAAATGTGTTTGAAACTCAAATCATCCTATTAGGAAATGTATAAAAAAAAAGAATTACCTGAATTTTATTTCAAGACAGGAGCTTGTGTTAAGTATTTTGAAAAATAGTGTATATTTGTTGAAGTCGTAAAGTTTAGTTTCCATGTAGGAAAAATATTTTAAGAGATCTAAACAATTTCGAACATAGATGTAAAAAATTTTAGACTCTTGTATAAACAACTTTAATAAAAGATGCAACTTTAGATCACTGTGTATTGGAAAACGAGAGGAGAATATGTGTCTTCAATTGGCGAGTTAAAAGAGATGTGCTGGTCCTTTCTACTTTGCATACGGACGAGATAGTTCGGATGCAAAGACATGGTAACAAATCAAATGCAATTATAGACTATAATAAAGGTAAAAGCTCAGTCGACATTTCCGACCAAATGTCCAGTTATAGCACAGCATTACGAAGGACAATCCGCTGGTATAAAAAAGTAGCAATTGAAGCAATTTTGGGGACTAGCGTTGTTAACGTTTTCCAGGAAGTTGGAGAGAGTGCAATGCCCATAACAGATTTCCGTTCATCAGTTATTGAAGATATGTTAACATATTTGAATCTCCAATAACAGATAAACCAACTGAGTTAAGTTCGTCCCTAGAAATCTATCGATTTAGGCGCCCACGTTCAATTTCTATTTGGTATACTGAATTTCTAACTTCAAAAATAGTTCCTAACACAGCTTTAGGGTCAAGAGGACCCTGTAAAGTTTTTAAACTGCTACAGGAACATGCTTCCCAACCTACAAATCTATCAATTTTCTCTTTATTTGGCCTATTTCACCTGCTGCACGTTTTTGGCCTATTAATTGTGCACTGCAGTGTTCTTTGAGTTTTTATTACTTTTCCTTTACAGCAAAGATTGCACTTATTTCCTTTATTTTTGTCACTTGCTGCGGAATAACACATTGTACATGTGGTTTGTTTTCTTTCATTTAATTTTTTTTTATTTTTTGTATTTAAACAATTTTCATTTATACAGTTGTTATCCGCCGAAATTAAATTATTCACGTCGAAAAAATACAAAGTATTTTACAAGACGACTGAAACTCATTACCCACCGGAATCTTGTACATTTGACAATATGGCCGCGTGTGGACCGTCGTTTTATAAACCGCCTAGACATTTTATAATCCGGCTAACCAGATAGCAAAATATAGTTTATACGGTCCGGCCAACTTTACAATGTGCTAGGGCCGTATATAAACTGACAACGCTGATATTATTCGTTTCCTGCTCACTTTAATGCTAACTCTCTGTAGTTTTCTTATGGACTTGCGCAAAACTTACTGGAAATGTTAAAAACTACGCAACTGTACGGAATTCTAATAGTTATCTTTAGTATCTAAGGACCGATTCCACCGTTGTGTTAAACGAAGTTTAAAATTACATTTTTACGTTAACAATGTCATTTTAATCTCCGTTTAACACAACGGTGGAATCTTGTGGTGGAATCGGCCTGATTGGGCTGAATAACATCTTAGGAATGATCTATACCTTGAATTTGAAAAGCGTATGTTTCGTGCATGGAGGAAGGATGTTTCGTGATTATTTGTCAAAGGCACATCAAACGTCAAAGGGCGTAGTTTAAAATGTATAACTTGAAGTTTGCGACGAAACTTCCGATTTGTAGGTTATGAAAATAAATATTTTGTTGGTTTTTAAGAATTTTTATACAATAAATATAGAAAAATACTTGTGGACAACGTGAAACAACGACAATAAAATAAGGTGTTATTAAATTTTTGCTAAGGTAATGAAACTGTATTTTAATCGACGTGTTAATTTGTTAATTATGAACAAAAGTCAAAATTAATCCATTTGTCAACAATATTTCTGCCGTCCTATAAAAAAGCCCCGTATCTCCAAAAATTTAAAAAATAAAATATTACCATATACATGTTTCTGGTAGTATAAACTATCCGTATATAGCTTTGAGGCCAAACAAAATATAATAAATCGCGTTTTTCTCAAAATTATGTTTTCTGGAGATACGGGGGTCCTTCTTAGGACGGCAGATTTGGGGTTTTAGAATAGGTTACCATATATATTTTGGACCCAATGCTGGACGCTGAACACGAATACAACATTTATGAACTTTGGAGGGGTAAATTTGTTTTTTTGTTAGCTCCCCAAAGATAAAATTACAAAAACAGAGTCACATGTAGAGGACCACCGGACTTTTTTTAGCTCCCCAAACACAACAGAGTTTTTGTCTTGTTACATTTCAGTAAATTGTGTATAACATTGCTGAACAAATACAGCATTTTGCTGGACGAATACGGCATTTTGCTGTATGTTTATTGTACTGGACAGACTTTGAAAATTCTGTACAATATAGCAAAATGCTGTAAGTATGGTCACCTTATTTTAAAACAATAATAACCTAGAAAATTATGTAATTAAAAAGAAAATATAAGAGCAATTTATTTAATAATTAATCTCATTTTCATTGTCTAATTAATAGAATACAATGTTTCCTTAGTATTGTTAAATTTTTAATTCTTATTTTTACAGGAGGTTTAAACATTTATTTTGCTTCAGATCTCGACATGGGTATAATATTCGGCAAAAAGAAAAAGCCCAGTAGAGTTACTGAACAGGACAAAGCAATATTACAACTAAAACAGCAAAGAGACAAACTAAAACAGTATCAAAGAAGAATAGAACTATCTCTTGTTAAAGACAAGGAATTAGCTAAGAAACTATTAAACAATGGCCAAAAAGAAAGAGCAAAACTGCTCCTCAAAAAGAAACGATACCAAGAACAGATTCTGTCCAAACTAGATGGTCAACTAAGCAACTTAGAAAGTATGGCTAGTGATATAGAATTTGCCCAAGTTGAAGTACAGGTAGTAGAAGGTCTTAAAACAGGAAATGAAGCTCTGAAAAAAGTCAATGCTGCTCTAAATATTGAAGATATTGAACGTATATTAGACGAAACAAGAGAGGGAGTAGACAAACAAAATGAAATCAATGAACTGCTTAGTGGCCAGTTGACTGATGAAGATGAGGCTGCTGTAGAGGACGAACTAGCAGCTATTATTAGTGAAGAGATGCCTGCAGTGCCTTCTCAAGAGCCTGAAGTACAGGCCAATGAATCTGCCGAGGAGGATGAAAAAGATCAGGAGATTGTCAAAAAGCCAAAAGAGAAAGAAAAAGAGAACATTCCTGTTTTGGCTTAATAATAAGTTTGAGATCAACATCTAAAGATTATTGTAAAATATGTTTGTTTTTAAGTTATTTTAATACTAAAATACATTTGTTTTAAAGATTATGTTTCTTATTTAGAAAGAAAGTATAATTTTTCTTCTCAACATTGCCTTGTTCCATATCATTTCATTCTCAATTCCCCTGAACTTCCAACACTACTCTTTAACTAGTTACATATTCTATTCTCTGAAAATATCCTAACTGGCTATGCCTATTTTCTCTCAATCTTTTACCATAATAGGCACCACTTTTAATAAGCTTCCCTTTTATATAGGGTGACAATTTAAAAACTGAAAATGACAAAATTACCAATCCCAACAAAAAATTGCGTGTTTATCTGAATTAAAACATTTTTAGTCCAGGAGTAAAAAATAAATTGTTTATATTAGATTTTATTATTACCTTTAGTTCATGTCACCTTGCATCTTAATCCCCGTAATTGGAGTATGGCCTTCCAAGTACAGGTATGAAATTGTCTACATAGATAGTATACCTTACAATGAGTTGAACAAAGTTCAATAAGGAACATGCACATAACAAAAAGACCGCTGTGAGCGAGTATCCATTTAGCTTCTGCTTATTCTACATTATATCAATTATCAATCACAGATTTATGCGTGATGACCGTCAACAGTCTTCATCTGATATGTGCATGTTCCCATTGTACCCTGTTCAACTCATTATAAGGTCTAGTTCCCGTGTTGAAAATTACGTAGTATATATAACAGACAGAAACCGCATATTACTTGATTTGATAAAGGCTAAAATATAAAAGAATTTTATTCTGATTTTAAAAATTATTGCGCAAATGTAAACAAAGATCTTAATATAATTACGTTATGTTATTTAATGTAAATAATTATTGTAACCCTGTAAGGATGGTCAAAACAAATGTACCTCTCAATATTACCTACAATAAGGACTTAAGGCGTCGATCCACCCTATATAAACTTAAAAATTAATAACATAAGTGGATTTAGTGGGGTTTTAAGGTCCCGTTAAAGCCATATCAATGTTAGTTCGGTTCTTAAGAATGTTGTATGCTAACAATTAAAATTAATAAATTCATTATTTTTGCTCTAGCATTACAAAGTAATCTTTGCGAAGAACTGATATTATTTAAGTATTTATATAGGTACTTATTTATAATTTTGAAATAACATAAATTCAATCATAATGATAACAATGTAACCTACCCTTTAACACATTCACCGCCAGGGCGGACACTGGTGCCGCTGCGTGGTCGGCTCATCACGCCAGGGCGGACACCGGTGTCCGCCAGGTTTAGAGGTTGATATTTCCTCGAAAAGTTTGAATTTTGTAAATGTTTTATTATAACTTATTCTTTTTAGGCCTCTAGAATGGCCTACCGACCGTGGTTTTTTTGAAAAAGAGTTTTGTTTAAATTTTATGGACTGTGTCCGCTGTGGCGTGTAAAAGTTTTTAAAGCAGCTAAACTCTTAGCAAGACATTTGGCGCGCGATCCGCTTCGGCAAACAGATCTGTTACGACGTGCCCGCTGAGATATTTGTGTCCGCTGTGACGTGTGGTAAAATCGGAAAAATTTTGTCCGCCCTGGCGTGATGCGAGGGAAAAATGCTTTTTTTAGGCATGGCGCCAGAGCGGACACCGGTGTCCGCTCAGTCGCTCTTATGGGTGGCGTGCTGGGAAGTTTCATGAAAATTGGCTTGGCGGTGAATGTGTTAAGCTCATCACTATATAAAAAAGTTAATGGCAATCACCCACTTCAAGTAGGGAGTGAAGTTATAAGTATACCTAAGTATACCTGTCTAATGTTAACAGCTGCCAAAAAAAAATTATTTTGAATTATAAACAGATATTTTTAATAATCAATTAATATATAGATGTTATTGGATTGGTACCTGTTGGAAGACCTTTTCGTCATCCCGAATTTACAGGGTCTCACAGAAACAAATGCCAATATTTTAACCACCTATAACAATTACGGAAATTTAAAGGTGGACCAGATAAGCTAAATCTATTAGAGACTAGGGTATGTGGGAGTGATGTGAAAGTGGTACATGCCAGGCGCTACTCAGCGGTCTTTGTTTCACGCGTGGTTCTATTATACCTTGTCCAATTTATTATAAAATAGAAGATCCCCGTTTTGATTTTTGTATCTGTATAACTCATCAGAAAAAATAAGTTTTTAAATGAGTATTTCATCGTTACACGCCAATAGAGCTTAAGTGAACCGCAAAAAATGGAAACTAATTACTAAGTAGAATGTCTAAAAATGTTATTTCATATTCAAAAATGATATAATCCTGGTAAGTAACGTAAAAATAGAATATAAATTTTAAAACGAGAAATTTTTGACTTCGCTAAAAGCAACGTTAAAATTGAAATTTTAATTGGATTAATTACAATTTCATAAAAATATAAAATGAAAAAAACAAGAACTGTGGAAATAAGTTATTTGCAAGATATTTGATGAATAATTAGTTTAAAATCTGAAACAGGGAAATGTTTTCTTCTTTTTCGTTACTTCAAGATTTGTAATATTTTTTCTAGTCAGAACTAATGCCGATTCCATTAAGAATACTATAAGTATTCCAAGAATCGTTTAATTTTGTATCAGATTGAGAACTGAATTTTCTGCTTTTCATTTATTTGATAATTAAATTACAAATCTTTCCTTTTTTTATTTTACTCGTTTCAAATGTATTATTTACTTTCGATAATTAGATTTTTCTGGAATGTCTAACTACAGCGGATTAAACTTAATTACAAAAAGGTTATATATTTACATAGTAATATATGGTAAAACGAGAATATAAGATTGTTTTAGGATTACTGCAAAAGTTGTCATTACTTTTAGCCAACTGATGACTTTAATTTAGTCACATGGAATAGGGGTATTGTTGAAGACTTAGTCGAAGTAATAGAAAACATTAAGACGCTATAAATGTATAAAGTCATTATTCTTGATAGTTTTCCTTTTGAAATATTTATTAGTATATATGAAAATAGAATCAGGAAATGCTAGGAGACAAGTGAGAAAATAAATACAATTTTATTATTAAAACCGTTTATTGTGCTATCACCAATTTAAATACAATATATAGTTCATGTGTCAACATTAGTGATAAATGATTTTTGTATTCTCGAAAAAAAAAAAAAAATTACATAATAGTGGAAAAACTCGTAAATACCAAATTAAAATGATGATGGCACTGAGTAGATATTAATTAAATAACCTGATTTTACGTCTTTGAATAGCAATTAATTAACCCCTTCCATCAAAAAAAAAAACAAACAAAATTACGTAGCACCAATAAATCAAAGAGGCAATCATAATAAGTGTAAAAATAGGACTTTTTATTAAAAAAATTAACGCCTACATGGAATTTCTTTAAAAAAGTTATCTGAGAACATCTCAAAATTATATCATAAATTACACAACATCGAATTTCACATTAATTACAATTCAGTCTTGTCTGCTTTGGGAGACCCGCTCCTGTCGTAGCCCTTCAACTCATTGGTCGCATGTTTGGCAATGTATTTTACGAAGTCGTCTACTTCTCGGCCCTCCTGTAACCAAAAAATTATGTTTCTTTGTGTTGACCAACAATTAAAATATGTCAAAATATCTAAACATTATTGAAAACGACTTGTAAATTTACAAGTAAATCTGAAAAGAAATGAACTTTTACCTCATATTTGACAGGAGAGTCCTTTGAATCTTTAGGTACCCAGAAGAGTGTGGGGAATCCACGTACTTCATAAGGTGTTGGTACATCATTAGCTGTAGCATCCATCTTTACAATGGCTACGTCTTCATCTTTAAGCTAAACAGAAAATAATTATTATATTATTGCAAAGTATACCATTAAAATTACCGATATTTAACAATTTCCTTACCTTTTCTGCTAGTTCATCAAAAATAGGTGCCAATTTTTTGCAATGTCCACACCATGGGGCATAAAATTCAATCAAAACGTCTTTTCCATTGTTAACCACGACTTCATCGAAGTTTTTGGCTACAGCAACCTTTAAAGGTTGATCATTGCTTTCTGGGATTGCTTCTGATTTGAGGTAGGGTTCAAGGGCACCTTCTAAAACATCGTTGACAAATACGTCCAAACCTTCAACGCTAAAAAGAAAAATAAGTCATAATTTCAAGTTAAATACAAAATAATACTTAATATTCATTTAATTTCTGAACTAACATATAACCAGCTAAATTGTACTTACGAGAAGTCTTTAAGGATGAACTTCTGGTTTTTAGCATCTCTAGCAGTTACTACTGGTTTGTCACCTTTAACATAGTCTAAACCAAACTCGTTAAGTTCATGTTGGAATTCATCGTTTGCACTGACTGCAAAGTTGGCTTTTCCAATGAAATCTTTGGCAACCTAAAAATATAAATGTTTGAACCATCATTCGTATTTGTCAAGAAGTTAAATTCCAACATTTACTGTAGCTAATAGTTTACAATCAATAAGGTGGTGATTAATGGATTTGCACTAAAATGGTGACACTTTTTTCTGCATTTTTGCCTCCTTAATTATTTGTTTATGGGAGAAATATCTATAACATGCCAATTTCAATTTTTTTATTCAGTAACATTAGAATTTCATGTTTTTCTTTAAGCTGAATTTTAATAATTTTTGTTATTAATCACTTTAATATGCAAACCAATAAACAACTCACCTGAGAACATAAGTTAATCTTATGTCATTGAAAGTGTTGAGATAAAAAACGATAAGACTATGGAGATAACGCTATTTTTATTATATGCAAAGCGACACGTATTTTTTTACTAAGTGGTACTTAAGCTGTGATAATTTTAAATTATTAAAATATAGTTTTGTTTTTACTCAGAACAATATGGCAAAAGAACCGTCAAACGGGGTTAAGTGAATCACAAAAAGCTGTTTTTCTCAGAATATTCCAAAACTACAAATATTAAAATTCTGTAAAAAATAACGTATGTTGTTTGGGGCTTACCTCTCACTATTAACCAATTTTTATATTTTTATTTTACTTAGAAGTGCCCAATTTTTTTTGGTAAAATGTGATTCACTTTACCCCTTATTTTAAAAAGAAGAGCAATGCACTCAGTGCTATTTCTGTACAAGTTATTAAACAATAAAGTCAAAAAAATAAATAAACGTAATAAATTTACGAATTAAAAATATAATATTCGTCACTTTTAACGGAAATGACCAAATGGTTCACTTTACCCATTGTGATTCACTTAACCCCGTTTGACGGAATCTATAAGTTTGATGTTTGGTTTGGATTCAGCCAATAAAAGCTGAACACTTCTAAGAAAGTTTTTGAAAATTTTTAATTCTATTTGAATTAACAATTTTTTCATCCAAAAGTCACTCAATATATGCATATATAACGAAAAAATAAAAATTATACCTGCTATTTCAATTAAACATCGCGACAATTGTGAATAAATTTTATCAACAAACTCAGCAATTCTGAATATACGTTCTGAGAGATATTGAAAATTAATTATTTTAGAAATCAATTGGACAGCTGCTCAGTTAAGCTGTTAAAGCTGTGTCAACTGCAGTTAGTACTTGGATGGGTGATCAATTTAAGGAAACGCCGCATATGGATTTATTTTTGTTTTTAACTTACTTTCAAAATTCTGTTACGCCAGTAGTTGGTTCCTTTTGGATTCTTAACATAGTCAACACTGTAGTAAGCAACAAATAGAGGATTTTCGAATTCTTGTTTATTGTCAGGTTTACGATGACCTACTAAACCATGGCTAAAAAACAAACCATCAGCAATACTCACTTAAAACTCTTGTAAAATTAATAAACTTACAAGTTTTTGGTGATAAATTTTTGAATGTCAGCTGCATCAGCGGGTCCTGTGTATTTAACACTGTTATCTTCAAATTTGTTTTGTAAATGTACAGGACGGAACAAAACTAAACCATCCCTACAAAATATTTTGAAAATAATTACCAAATCACGTCCTCTCTAACAACTGACAAATTATTTGTTCTCTCATCAAAAAATTTAAATTAAGTCAATCATTACTTTTAAGAGCCATTATTTTATGTTTAACACTTAAAAATTCCTAAAAATGACATGTTTAAATTATAAGCTCCATAGGTAGTGATTTATTTTTATGTAAAAATTAATTAACAAAACTGGTAAAAATTGGGTAATTAAATTTTATGGTCAAACATGATTTATGATATCAGAAGAAAACTAACTATACAGACAAAGGGGTGTTTATACTACTAAAATATAAAAGAAAAAAAAACAAATATACTATGAGTAAGTACTTTATGTAAGAGACTTTGTTAAAACAATGGTTTCATTAATGTTATAGTTTCTGTAAGGGTTGCTTCAAAAGAATAAAGAAAAATTTACTAAAAATTTAATGGAAAATATGGAGACATAAATTTTATTTTATATTAATTTTTTTTTTTGTATCTTAATCAAAATCTAAAAACGTTGATTGCCCACTATTATTTCAATTAATCCATCATTTTTCTATGGGTGTATAACTTTTTTGATTTATATTAAAACAACAGCCCATAAAACTGTGGTATTAAAAATAAGAATTACTACCATGGAAAAAATGATGCTTCAATTCGAAGGTAAATATTATTTTAAGAAATAAAATCTAAACTCACTTGACTTTTTGTGTGTCCAAAAGTTCTTTGAATGAAGTATGAGCGAATTTAACCTTCTCTCTAAGTTTGTCTGCCACTTTGAGGAAAGCGGCTTTAAGGTCTGATTCTTTTTCAAAGAAACCAACCAATACTGATTCTTTTTCATTAGCCAATAAGTTCTTGAGACATTCAGATGTTTTGAGTTCACTTGAGCTTGGACCAACTTGAGCTTTCATGTATTTGACAATACCTTAAAAAATCTTGAGTTAGAGGTACAGCTAATTTTTATTTTACTTTTTAATTTAAGAAAAATAATTTGTATAACAAAATATGTGATAACTCAAAATTTGCTGGATTTAAAATGTAAAAATAATCAATGTAGATTAATGTTAATCTATATTATTTTTCATAAATCACTTCTAGTCTACCTGTTAAATTAAATAGAACACCTTATATACATGACCATAAAATATATAAAAAAAATATTTTTTTTTTCTAAAAAATACCATATTGGACAATTATAGATCAGTAATGTGATGTTCTCAGGGCGAATAAAAAGTGTAGGATTTATTTTTAACTCAAGAAACTTTTTATAGTAAATTACACATTGGATTTAAGATTATAAAAATGCATATTTTTAGATTTTCTTTTGTTCCTATTAGAACTGTAAAATCTTGCATTGTCATTAGACCTTTTTCTACAATATTCCATGATTAATAGTACATGTGTAATATGCAGGAGTTGTGACATTTAATTTAATTTCATCAGGTAAAGGTTAGTGTATTAAATATAGATACTTTCTCAATTATTCTAAACTTAAATTGAACAAAAATAAGATAGTATGTACACTGTTAAATATTAAAAAACTTACCGGGAGCTTCTCTGGGCCCGTTATAATCTTGCGAGACTTCACCATTCCTGAAGATCTTCAAAGTTGGATAGCCACTTACACTGTGTTTGTTACAAGTTTCTTTACCAGCTTCGGTACAATCGACCTTTACCATAGCAACTGGAGGATCATTTCTTAACAAATCTTCAGCAGCTTTGGCATATTCCGGTTTCAATCTTTTGCAATGTCCACACCTAAGAGTAAAAAATCATCAAATATAATATATGAAAGAAAATATGGTGTAAATAATAGACTTTCTGAGGGCTATGAAATAATATCATAAATGTGACTAGTTTTTTTGCAAAAAAACTTACCAAGGTGCATAAAACATCACAAGAGCAGTCTCATGTTCGGCAATTTTGGATTCGAAGTCACTGTCACCCAAATCTAAAACATCTTCTTCCCTGGCAGAGCAACTATAGATAATCAAAGAAATTGCAAATATTTTGAGTAAAAACATGTTTATTTCTTTAAGAACCGGCTTTAAATTCTTTCATACAACCTCCACACTTCCCTTCTGACACAAGAATTCTCGAAAGTGACGATATACGTGGCTTTTAAAACGCGCAGGACACCGTGTTGTCGTGTATCTATTGGTTGATATCGTGATTTAAACACTTCTGATTGGTTGGAATATATATAAAGAGACCGATAAGTGGTAATTATGCATTTATAAGAGAGATAGATAACAAATCTGTTTTCACAAAATTTATATTCAAACTATAATTTTATTCGTAGGTACATCTTATTTTTTTTATTTTAAAACAAATTTACAAATTTAAATTGTCTCTCATGTGGAGCTCGTATGTTAATAGGTCATTCCAGATACGGACTTCACTTCATCAAAACATTTGTCGAATAATGTTTCTATTTTGGACATACCTAGGTACCAGTTCCTAGGTATAAAGTGACTTTTTTTAATCGTAGCAAGTGTCAAAAATCAAAAAATTACTAAATAAATTTAACAAGCAAACACCCTACATCAAGTAGTTGCGAATAAATTATATGATTTTCTAGTTTTCTAAATAAATATGAAAATGAAATTAGAGGGTATGACATGGCAACCCTGTGGGCCAGTGTGGGTCCAGTAGTCCAGTTCATTAGTGTGGACCTGTGATTTAACAGGAACAGGATTATTAGCGATGTCATTTTAATCTTCGTTTAACACAACGGAGGAATCGGCTCTAAAAATGTCATTATAAACTTCGTTTAACACAACGGTGGAATCGGTCCTTAGGTATGGATAAGCAAAAGTACCTAAATTTTTTGTTTTAAATTTACACTGACTTTAGGTATGTTGGTTCTATCCTTCCTTCCTTCATGTGTTGATTAGCGTAGAAAAACAGCATCAAATGCATTGTCACATACAATTTCAAGGGCCCACGATGAATATAATTTTTTCACCATGGCTTTCGACTGCGACGATTTGGACCCTACCTATAAGACTTGCTTTGCCCCCCTAGAAATGTGTTAAACGGCGCACATGTGTACGGGAGAAGGGTTGGCAACATTGGCCATAGTTGTCAGTTGTCGTTGTCATATGCTTCTTCCTTCATGTTCATACGTAAAAAATAAATAAAAAGGATTTAATCACAGAAAATTAATAAAAGATGAATGAATTAATAATACTTATTACTGTTTTTGCCACCTTAATAACCAGTGCAAAGTCGGATAGTGTTTTAGGATGTGGAGGCTTTTTAAAAAGTCATGTTCCAATTGATTTTTCAAAAGTTGAGGTTAAGTTGTATGTGTTTACTTTGTATTTTATTAATTAAATTATACTTGAATGAATTTTAAATCCTTAGGATTACGAAACAAGGTATTGTCAAAGATAAAACTACTGCAGCTCCCAATAATGGATATTATTTTGTTCCTCTTTATGATAAAGGGGAACTGCTTTTGGAATTGTCACCACCGCCAGGGTGGAGTTTTGAGCCCAAAAACGTAGCACTATTTGTAGATGGAGACACGGATTTGTGTAGTCAAGGCAAAGATATCAATTTTGTATTCAAAGGATTTGGTATTACTGGAAAGGTAGCATAACAACCTAATAAAAAATTGGTTTGTAATAGCTGTTTTTATTAACAGGTTGAAAGTTTAGGTAGTCAGACAGAAAATTCTGGACCAGAAGGTGTAACAATAAAGCTAGAATCAGATGAAGATGTTAGAACTACAGTTAGTGATAAAGAAGGCAACTTTTTTTTCACTCCAGTGTATCCCAAAAAATATAAAGTATCAATTTCACACCCCAAGTATGATTTTTATTGAAAAAATGTATTAATAAAATTATATCTATATAATTTTTAGATGGAAAATTCACAAAAAGTCTGTTGAAGTGACAGTAGCTGAGGGAAATACAGAGCTGCCAAAACATAGCCTTATTGTACAAGGTTATGATGTAGTAGGACAAGTTAAAAGTGAGGGGGAATCAGTTAAAAATACCATTGTAGTTCTTTTATCAGAGGTAAATTTATCATTAATTAATTATATTGTTATCTATGCATTTATTTATTATAGAAAGTTGGATCTACTATAATAAATGGGTGTAATACAGAACCTTTAACAGGTCTGAAAGTTAAGGATAGTATTTTATGCCATGTAAAAACAAATGAAAATGGAAAATTTGTGTTTGAATCTTTACCTAACGGGCACTACTATGTTATACCATATTATAAAACACAAAATATATATTTTAAGCCAGAAAAAATTGAATTTATTGTTAATAATAGAGACTTGGAACTGAAAGAAACTTTTGAGGTAAATATTTGGAAAAAATTATATTTTCTTTAGTCACATATTTGTGTACATTTTCTAGATAATAGGGTTTAGCATATCTGGGAAGGTACTTAAATTTACAAATGTACCTCTTCCATATGCTAAAGTATTTTTAAATGGAGAAGAAATAGCAAAAACAGATTCAAATGGACAATACATTTTAGAAAAAATAAGAGCTGGCAAATATAAACTTAAAGCAGAATCAGGTAGTTATAAATATTAATTGAAATATTCTTAAAATTAAAATTTTTGTTTTTAGAAAATTTACTATTTGATGAAACCAACATTCACATTGACCCATCTTTAAATGAACTACCAGCAATTTTTCCATCTGCATTCAAAATTTGTGGTACAGTAACCAGTGATCATCCTCAAAAAGTTACTTTTAGTAAAATTGGAAGTACAAAGCTAATACAAACATTATCATCTGCAACAGACGGAAGTTTTTGTGAATTTTTAGCACTTGGCAAGTATGAAGTTCAGGTGGTTGTCAGTGATGCTGAAAAGGAAAAAGGATTGCAGTAAATACATTTTTAAATTAATTATTTACTTAAATAACCATTATTACTAATAAAATGTTAAAAATAAACAATTCAAAAATGAAATAGCCATACCCATTTTGTTTTAGATTTTATCCTTTGGTTCAAAAAATAGAAATCAGTTCTGAAAAATTGGCAAACATTGTATTTTCCCAACTAAAATCAACTATTTCTGGCAAGGTGCAATGTTTGATACAAAAAGAATGTGAAGATCTTACAATAGTTTTGAAAAGTGGCACAGAAAATGAAGTTATTGTTAAAGTAAAAGGTAAAAACGTAAAATATTTTTTATTCTATTTCCCTGTATTTTTTCTTATTCTTTTTATAGGTGGAGTGTATTCTGTTAGAGATATGTATCCAGGAACATATGAAGTGCGCATACTTTCAAATAGGTTCTGTTGGGAAAGTAACACACAAAATGTGGTGGTGGACAGTGAAAAAGTTGAAATACCCCATTTTGTTCAAAAAGGATATACAGTTGTGTTTGTATCTTCACATGATACTCAGGTATTTATATTTGTTAAATAATTGTAATTCTTTTAAATATTTATTTATAATACAATACTCTATAGGTCATAGACTCAATTAGAGAGCAGGAATTGACAGAATATAATGAATACATCACACATTTTTTATATGAATATTAACCACATACAAAATTTATATTTCACAAAAGTAATTAAGATAGAAAGTGGGATTTTATATCTGACAACTTACAACCAAATATATCAAGTTCATTGCTAACAGAATTTGTCACTTTACACAATAGAATAGAGCACAGAATTTTCCAGAATATTTGTGGGAAATGTTTTTGTATAAAAATAATTCGGGTGCCTGGAAGAAATTCTGGGAATGCAATTATTAAACTTTCCCAATGTTTGGATGGTCAATAATAATTTTATGAGTTACTATAATAATCACGCCTTCTTTCTGGACTGAAAAAGTTATGCTTTTGTAGTAATTCAGAGTGAAATGTGCCTATTGGTGGATAAATGCCATCAGTTTTTATATTTATCAGTTTTAAAAATCGTCTTTGAATTGCTTCTATCTGATCTATTTGATACTGATAAAGGGGACTCCACACAACTGAAGCATATGCTAACTTTGATCTTATAAAAGAATAGAATAGACTTTTAAAGGATACAGCATTTTCAATATGCTTATTAAATGATAGTGCAATGGGCATGTGTAGGGATGTGTAGAAAAAACAAATTTTCATTGACTTGTAATATATTTTTTAGGTTAACTTCAAACTACAAGGCCAAACAAAACATACTGTTTTTGACATACCTAGAGGCCGATCAATTTTTTGTCTAGAAAAATCTGGTGAATACCTATTTAACCTTGAAGGCTGCCATAGATATACTGAAAATACAATCATTTACAACACAAATGCTGAAATTAACGAAGTCATTCTCACAGCTAAAAAGCACACTGCTAAACTCAGCATCCAAGCTGAATCTGATTTTGGAAACATACAAGTCTCAGTAAAAATTGGAACTTCAAAGAATGAAGAAACGCTAAAATTCAACAAAGGCATTTATGAGCTCGACATTTTACTAGAACCTTCCGAAAATGCTGTAGTAGTACCACAGTCTGAAGTACTGTTTTTCACACCACCAATTTTGTCTGTAGAAGGTGGGGATGATTGCGAGAATTTGGGAGTAAAGTTTCTTGCTGTTAAAGGTAAATCTATATTTATAATCAATGATCTAAGAGAAAATTATAAAAAAATGAGAGTACATTTATTTTATTAATATACTTTTTGTAAAATTTCCACCTATATTTGCTTTTTTGCGATTTTTAACTAGTTAGCATCCCAAAAATATACATAAGTTATAATTAATCAGGTGGCCTATTAGTGCGAAGAAGTCCAATGTCCAATCATAAGAAATATCAGAAAATGTTTTAAATAAAAGTTATAGAGTTCACTTTTTTGCATATTTGTTTTGTTACATCGGGACAGCTTAAGTGTCGATGTTTTTAAATGACTCACTCTATATATTTTTTCACCATTGATTTCAGCGTAAAATGTTACATTCCGGTACGTTTTTTTTTTAATTTGCGATGTAATTTTATGGCAAAAAAAATATTAAAAAACAATGAAAAGTTGTTCATGACAAATATTATTAAAAAAACTTTGTTATTGACAGTTAAGTTAAAATATTTGATAAATACAAAGATAGGGGTTAGCTGGAACGTCTGAGAGGATCAAAAGTGTATTTTTACCTACAGGCGATATCAACCTGCTAATCTTTAAACATTAAAACTACGTTTTTAACATTTTATAGGCCTTAAAAGTGATAGTTTTTGTCAAATTTTTATTGATAATTTAAAAATATAATAGAGGTAAAAAAATATAGAACTTCCACGCACTAATGGGCCACCCTGTATGTTTCTAGGTCAACTGTTTGAAGGAAAAGTGATTCCTCCATTAGCTGGTGTAACAATTACAGTTGAAAGCGCAGATTCAGAAAAATTGGTTATAGATTCTGACCATAATGGTGCTTTCAAATTTCCACCATTAGATAGCAAAAAAGGTTATAAAATCACAGCTGTCAAAGATTCATATATTCTAACTGGTCCAGATAAGAATGGAAATTTTTTAGCACACAAACTAGCTGAAGTTATAGTAGAAGTTGTAGATACTGATAATAATCCACTACCAGTAAGTATTATAAAAATGTATTTTATATAATCATCTCTAATTTACACTAGATTGTTTGTAAATACCAGAAAAAAATCCCCCTATTTGATCTCTGAGGAAGGCCATTTATTTATTTAATTACTTTACACTCCATTATAAACGAAAAGTATATATAAATTTAAAGACACATTTTACACATTAAAGTTTGATTTAACAGTGTAAGTAATAAAAAAGAAAATGTGAAATAGATATAACACAATTATAATCAGTTCTCTAGAACTAAAACACATATCTATTTATAACCTAACTAAAATTTTATTTCTCTCATATGTTTTAAAACTCTTAACTCGTTCCAAACATTTCCAAATTATTCATGTTGGCCAATTTTAACATTCTATCGATTGGCATATGTTGATCATAGTCACGTAAATAAGAGGAAAGAATAAGTAATTATTTCTGAAAAGTTCAGCAGTTCGGGGCATTTAACTATACCGTTTAGAAGTTTGAAAACAAATGAGAGGTGATGTATAATCATGATTTATATTTAGAAATCTCAGATTATATCCATAGTACCTCAGGAATCAATTATGTACCCTTTCTAGGCTTTTAATGTGGATCATGCAATAGGGAGACCAAATTATAGATGCATACTCTAAATCTGTCCTTACCAGGGCCTTATAAATAGTTTATGTAGCTTTTATTGAAATTGTTTTAGGGAGTCCTATTGTCTTTATCTGGTGGCGATAGCTATCGTAAGAATCTTCAAAGTAGGGCTGATGGTAAAATTTTGTTTAATTCTTTGAGCCCTAGTGAATATTTCTTGCGACCAATGATGAAGGAATATCAATTTGAACCTAGTTCGAAAATAATACCAGTTAAAGAAGGAGAAACTGTTAATGTACATTTGAAGTAAGTTTTAATCCAAATATTCTTCTGCCTAAAAATTACGTTCCTATTTGTGAAGCCTCTGGATTCGTTAGATTGAGGGAAATATCAGCTTCATTTAAGCTTTATTCCAATGACAATAATTGTTTCCAATACGTCATCTTAACAAAAAAATAACATGTTATTTAATTACAGAGCAAAAAGAGTAGCATACAGTGCCTATGGTCAGGTGATGTCATTAAATGGTGAACCAGAACTTGACATGATCATAATGGCTCAAGGTACTGGAAATTGTAGTGATTATTCTGAAGAAACAACTTGCGAATCTACAGGACAATTTAGAATCAGGGGGTTGCAGCCATTTTGTTCCTACAAAGTCATAGTTAAAGAAGGATTAAATGACAATGTTGTTGTAGAACGATCTGCTCCTGAATATGTAGAAATTAATGTAAGCAAATACTAGTAAGTAAAACACTAAAATTTTAATATTGATTTTGTTTGCAGCGTGTTACAGATGACATAAAAGATATTAAGCTTGTAGTGTTCCACCCAGCTTCACAACTGGATGTACTTGTCAAAGTATACACTGATAATGTAGAACATTATAAATCTTTAAAAGTTAAGCTGATTAGAGAAACTGGTTCATCAGCTGTACTCCACACAGCCAAAATCGATACTTCTTCAGTAAAAATAACAAAATCTGTAAATCCTGGAGTATTACTACACCTTCCAGCTATTCCAATTGATAGCAAACCATATTCCATACAGTTAGAATCAGGATTACAGGGTACTAAACAACAAGTTCACTTTTTCAATGCTAATGAATCCTTCAAATACTTCGAGTTTGAGTTTAGATTGAAAGATAGTGCCTCAGATCAACGTATCAAGCAAACCTCCCCATGGAGCTTGGTGTTCATTTTTGCTATCTTAATCTGTGCATATAACATCGAGTTAATAGCAAATTTCTTAAATGAAAGGTTCAATTTTAACATCAATTCCTTAACCAATATGATTTCTAGTCCCGGAGGAAGTCCCAAACCCGTGACCGATTACTTTGATGATGCACAGATTGATCAGATCGTTCAAAGTATCAACAGTGCCAAAAAGAAGCCCAAACCCAAGAAGATTTAGGTTTTGGAGTAATATTTTTAGGTAGTTATGATGTAACAAATTTTGAGTGTAATTATATTATTTTGTATGTATGGAATGAACGACAGTCATTGATTGTTCATTATATCATTTAAATATTTCAATTTGCGAATGTATAGTTTTGGTATAATGGAACAGTATTTATTTTCTATAATTAAATTATTGAGTTCTAATAACATGCAGAATGTTTAAATAAAACTTTTTTCCATTTAAAACCTTTCATAGTTTATATTTTTGTTTATCATCAAATAAAATTGTTGATGTTAAGAACAGTCTGTTGAAATTGTTACTTTTTTAAATAAATTATTGTTACAAAAGCAATTTCTTTAGTTTACACTTTCCTTTATTAGATTAGATTGTCTTAAGGATGGGGTATCCTTGTGTATAAAACTGTATGTGTAGACCAAAAGTTAAATCCACTAATTTCTGAACATAATTTAAATTCTAATTTTCTACCAAATTGAAGATAAAGATGTAACTTAGATCGTCTTTTGAAAATTGAGAAATTTGTTATTTTAACCCCACTTTATTTCTCAAAGATGCCGTTTAAAATTGTTTGATTTTAAACAAACAAAAATTAAATCGATGAAAGTTTAACCTTTACCTAGGATACGATTCACTCAGGACATGGAAACATTTCATATTTTCCGAAAGTTATTTTCTTTGGAATGCCATGTCAAATCTCATAGTAGTGCTATTTTGGACCAAAAATAGCTTATATTTCCCCCACTTAGTTCATCACACTGCATTTATCGCTATGAGACGTATTAGTACGCATTCGTATAAGATTCGTGCTCAATACGGATGAATTGTTCGTAAGAGCGGGTAATAAGATTTTTCCATAAATATCTAGGCAACCGTTGGAACTAGGAATATGCGATTTAATAATATAAAATAGTATAATATGAAAGTATTATTACTATAATTTTAACAGATTATAAAACTATTAGCTCGCAGCCAGTTTATGAAGAGAATATGATTTAAAAAATTCCGGCAATCGATAAAAATTGGATTTTATGGGCTATTCCATACCTTTCAACTGAAAATCGCAAAATTCTTGGCCAAACCCTACCAATACCTCGATGTTACAGTTGTTCAAGATTTCTGTAATTATTTAATAAAAAATGGATAATTAAAGAAAAAATACACATACTATTTTTTAACCATTTAATACTTTTAAAAATATTACACAAAAATTTGATGACTTCAAAATATGCCCAACTAATAAATACCCCAACAAACCGAAGGTATCAAAATTTTAGAATATCATTACTCTATTAAGATTTAAGCATAATTATGCAAGAATAAGTTGTAGACAGACGATTTTAGTGTTCCAAAACTGTCCAAAAAACATCCAAACTTCTCGCAGTAAATATAAGGTAAATCTGAGAAACTTGGATGTTTTTAAAACCTATACAGGATGCCCTGGAATAAAGGTTATATATTTTGTATGCTATAACTGGGAGTTGTATAGCACTGCCATAACTGTTTTTGTTCTTTTTGACTTAATAATAACTTAAATTTTGAGTATTAATAGTTAAAAAAAAATTTCCTTGTCTAAGATAAGATGCGTGAGAACATAGATACAAGGGTGGTTCTGGCATACTATGCATGCAATAAAACATTGGTATAGAGCCACTTCTCAAAATATACAAACAATTTTGGGACAGCCTGTATAACATTATTTAAAACTCACTGGACTAACAATAAATTATTATTAAGGTGGAAAATTGTATAAGAACAAAGACTCAAAAATAAAATTAATAGATATATAAACTTTGTTGTGGTTATACAATGCCAAATACTGTATATACTATTTTTTAAAAATGAAACGAATTGAACAATAAAATTTTGTCATATCATTTAATTCTTTTGAACCATATATACAGCAAACAAAATTAATTCTAGCGATAGCACTGTACAACCATGAGAATTTCTCAAAAATGTATATCAAACCAGCAATAGCGATACAAAAATTGAACTGTTTTTATTTATGTAAGAAAAAACTTTATATATTTCGATCTATTTAATTAAAAAATATATTATTCTGTAAATTAAAACATAGCAACTAATGTATCTAGCTATTATTTGCACAGAATTTGTATAGGTTTGGAGATATTGAAATATTTTTAAAAATTTTCGAGCTGGACATCGACTCACGTCACTTTAACTATTTAAAATTTCACCAAACAATGTACGATACATTATCAATATTCGAATATTAGAAAACAACGTCTATTCATTCATGCACTCTAACCATCCACTAAATAAAAAATACTTTCCTCCGATTTTGGATTCAAAGAAGATCGGCACTACTTTTAGAAATTCCTTTTTAGAGCAAAGCGTTTTAAAATGAACTTTTACCAAAAGTACGCCTTGAGATCGCTTAATACGCTGCCTAAAAAAATCCTGTATATATTTTGAACTGAGTGGCAGAGGTACAGTCCCTATGTTTGGATTGCTTGATCAAGTGTAAAATTGTGGCCTAAAATTGGTGGAAAAATAATGTCCTTCCACAATAGTAAAATCATACAATTTTTTAAAATAAAATAGTTTTTAGTAAAATTCAGAAAATTCCATCAAAACAGTTATAGAAATATTCTACTGTTAAAAGCGAACTTTTACAACCACATCATCTTAGCAATACTTTATGTACAATTACCATTCTATTTTTCTTTCCAAAATGTGATATTCCTAATTTTGTGGACCTTTATATACATTTTTTCTACGCCCACATGTGTATTATCTTCTCATCTACAAACTACAGAATGAATATGTAGCTCATATCAGTCTACTGAACGGATATAAGTTAATATCCATTATAGTAAGGTTATTAAAGCCACAGTTCATAGGGACAAATCATTTTCAATTAAAAATTTCATATCCGTACAGTGCCCTTAATAGAATGGATATGAAATTATATCCGTTCAGTTCACTGATAATATAGACAATATACTCACAGACTACAAACATGGCGTTTAACTGAACGAATATACTCGTATTTCATATCCATTCTATCTAGGAAGAACAAAGCACGAATATGAAATTCACCAATCACAGTTCATATTTGGTCACCAGGATATTATTTTTTAAAATTTTAAAAAAGTGACAATTCTGCTAAACTAATTGTCAGTATATTTTTTATTTATTGAAATTAAATATAATCAAAAATGAGTTATTCTTGTGAAGAATCGATAAATTAATTTTTGATATTTTCTCTAGTGGGTCGTAGAAAAAATGTACTGAACAACTAGCGTTGATTGTCCGTATCGCACAAACTACTATTTTCTATACAGCGTCTTTGGCATTTTACCTCCCTTGAGGCTTTTCTATCTGCCCAACAACCGATTTAACAAAAGTGGTTATATTTGTCTCCTTTTAATTTACCTCTACCTCTCTTGTTCCTTCGTCCTTAATATATTTTTTTAATATCATGGAAACAATAAATAAACACTAAATCCTCTAATATTTTTAAAAGCTACCTGAAGATAGTTTAAGCAGAATTTTCGTCAACAATTGTATTGAAACCTTTAAAAAATCAATTTAACACTCTAAAGAAATGTAAACAAGGTAAAGGCATGATTAAAGACCCCCGTAGACGTACCGGTATAGTTGAACAGTACATCGCACATGTATACTGGAACGTGTGTTTCGTAATATTTGCACACGCACGTTAACTGTACAAGAGACATGAGTTGGAATTCTATATTTTTTACATGTACATGTCGGACTTGCGCAAGTGGAATTGAGCGTATGTATGTGAAAGACTTTTACAATCTTAAAACAGCTGATATTTGATCATATGTAGAGTAGTACGATTTTAGTGCTATGACGAGTCACTTGAAAAGGGGACATCGAGAATGTTTCCATTTACGAACATGAGCCCATACCTGTGGTGTGTTAAAAGCAGTGAACCACGATAGGCGAAAGAGGGAGGCGGCTATAGACAACTAATAGAAAAATTGAGGGATATAGACCCAAAAGCCTATCGTGATACAGCAGTTAAAAAAATTAATGATTTTCAAACGAATCACAGGAAGAAAAAGTCAGTGGGTTTAACTTTAAACTGGTGCAATGTGCAAGCGTACTTATACGTGTGTTGTCGACACATATATTAAGTATACTTGTGCAATAAACTTGTACTTATATACTGTTCAATTATACCGGTACGTCTATGGGGGCCTTTACGAACATTTGTATGTTTAAAAATGTTCCAAAAAATCAATAATCCTCTCCTAGAAATTTAAATTATAATGAAGCCCTGATAAAAATTACTGCGTAGAATATTTCTGACCAAACTATATTATGCAAAAAGTTCTAAACATATTGCTTTCCAAACAATTATAATATAGGTCTACTGTGTGATGTACAAGTTAAAATTTATTCCTTGTAGTAATATAATTTGCAGTATTCCAAATGAGGCGTCACATGATTTATCTTCTTATTAAAGGTAAAAAGTGTTAGTAATAAATATGACAGATTATGTTTGATCTAGTTATTCACAGACTAGAGAAATCTAGAATACCTCGTAAATAATTAATTTTTTAAGAATTTGTTGGAATAATTCAAACAATATAAATGACTGAATTAGTACGAAATGATGCCGATACTTTATCGGCTTTGGGCTCGGTTGTGTCAGTGTTTTTTTACATGGTCCAAATCTTTCCCTAATCTGTTCTTATTAAATATTGAGGAGTGATAGTGCACAACTAGATGCTGCTCTATTTGCTATTTACTTTAATTGTCTTTAATTTATTTTAATTATTTGTTAAATGTATCCACCAATTAAAAAAAGATGTGTTATCGAATTTTTTATATGACACACTAATGTTCAAAAGTAACTGTTCAATAAAAAAAATCCATTTTATACAGTAATGTATAAATTTGAAAGTACAGTCCTTATGTTTTCCTGTCTGGCAAAGCCATACATTGAGACACATAAAAGTAGAATATATGTAACAAATTGAGAAGAGACAATCAACAGAAAGCTGATATTTTAGCGGACTACCTATAAATGACATTCGAATTAGAAGAAAATCAACGAGACGATTCATAATATAAAACAACTTGAAATTAGGCTTAGTTACTCCTAATGAACTTATAAAAGAAATTCATCATATAGAAATATAGACCTATATCTAAGCGGTTGGAAAAGAATCAAAACGACTAAAACCAATAATTGAAAATAAAAACACGATTATTTCGCATAATAAAAATAAAAGAAACTTATACTCGTTTGAGGCATGTGGTATGCAGTAGGAAGCACAGACGATCAGATTAATTATATCGCTTTACATTATAACAGCATGCCAGAGAGAGAGAGAGAAAATAATTACTGCGTAAGATAATTTAGATATTTTTAAAAGAAAATATTGAAGGTTTTGTCCTAATACTTGTTTTGACATGTGACCCTGACACTATAGATCATAATTGTAGCAAAACCTTTTGCCATTTTAGTCTACTTAAGCCGTTTTATGAAAAATGTGGCCAAGGAAATTAAAAATATTGAACATTCTCTGAAATTTATTTTCTATGTACTTATCTATTCTGATATAACTTTTGCATAAAAAATATTTTGCTAAAATTAACATTTAAAAATATGATTATGCAGAAGTGAGGTTTTGGAAACAGTAATAACTTGCCCATTTGCATTTAAAGGTAGTTCTGTTTCCAAAAAAGTCCTACTTAATTTTTTGTAATGGAATATATTTTTCTATAGAAGTACAGAACACGTGGGACACTTTTAAAAACTTTGCAAGTTTCAATAATTTCAATCATTTTTTTTAATGATTTCGGCAGTATTTTTAAAAAAATTGCTCTTGAATATTGCATTTTTTAACAGATTGTAGAGACAACATGTAATATTGCATAAATGGTCGCTACCACAAAAAAAAAAAATAACTAGAACGCCTTTAATTTATATTTATAACACCCATAAAAACAAAATGTAACCAGTGCAATCTGAAATATTCAAAGCTATAACCAGACTAAATGTATATAAATACAAATCAGTAAAAAGTCAAGTAAGTGAAATAAAAAAAAAAGGTTGGGTAGACCAAGAAACCTGGGATAATGTAAGTAAACCTTTGAAAAAATATGTGAAATGGTGCAAAGAAATGCAAATAATAGCAGGGATTTTAATATGTTCTAAAATTGATTTTTTTCTAGTAGTTTCAAATTTTGAAGGATAGGTCACAGATTTTTTGACATATTGTTGGTACACAAAAATAGTGACAGCTCAAAAACATAGATTTTCGAAGACATCTATTTAAAGTTTCTGGTTTCTGTAAATCTTGCATTTTAAAAATGTTCAAATCTTTTTCGGGAATACACATTAGTGTTCACCTTTTATTCAAATAATAAGTTTGATTTGATAACATTAAAAAAAAATTTAAAAATTATATATTTTCTCTTTGAGTTATGACGATCTTCCAGAAAAGTATATTTGACACCATATTGATAACGACGTTTTCAAAAATAATGTTAGAATAATTTGACTTGTGTCACTGTTGAAAATAATGTTTATTTTTAATAAAACTGGCATATTTTGATTTATATTAGGTACTCTCATGCGAAAATTGACGATCTTGCCTCATTAACTGTCGGAACAAAACTAGATTTGTGTTACTCTTCATCATTATAAACTCGCAACATTGTAGTACGGGAAGAACAACACAACCGGTTTCCTGCAGTTATTTTTGGAACTACCAATGTGTAGGGATATGCAGATTTTGCTATACATTTTCACAAGCTCGAAAATTGAAATTTTTAAGTTGTGTCACTATTCTTGTCAACGACAATTATCCAAAGACTGTATTCCCTTTAAAAATACCAGTGATGTAACATTGAATACCTGTATATGTATGTATAAAATAAACTTCATACATAGTATCAACCCCATAGTTTGTGTATAAATAAACGTTAGGACACTGTAAGTAATTTTATGCAATTGTGGCGCCAGTAAATCATACTTTGGACACACTACAAATTTTATATAATTTTTTTCAATTAACTTAAGCTACACTGTTTTCGATATATTTTGAGGTATATATTTCAATACGTCGAAAAAGTTTGAAACGCTCACCAAAAAAATCTAAAATAAAGATATTACAGTGGAATTAGCTACCCACTTAAAAATAAATGGGATCAATGTCAACTTTTACAAAAAATTCTATTCATTTTTAATTCGATAATAACAATGAATTGTTAAAAATAAACACATATACAGCTCTGTTGATATTTTTTGTTACGTCTGAATTTCAAAGTTATATTTTTTTTGTTTTTAGTCAAATCTAAAAGAATCTGTGATAGAAAATAAAAATCCTCGACTTATTTGTTACTATTAATGTTCAGTGTGTTTAAAAGGGAAATATTGGATAATCAGTCAACCAGTCAGTAAAACAAAAATCTGACCAGAAACATCAAAATATCATTACTTTATTGATAATCATAATATTCAGCATTACATATCTTCTTTTTTTGACCATTAAATTAGATTTTCTGATTTGAATATTAAGGTTATAAGCCACAAAACGGAATTCATGCTAATACATTGAAAATTCTGTATTATTCTAAAACAAAACTGAAAGCTCAAGAAGAATTTTCTCTATTTTTAGAAACGTTTATATCACAGAATATAATTTTTCACATTAAATGGAAGGTATGCTAATTCCGGAGTAACGTTCATGTGATTTAGCTGGTGTTTTCATCACAGTCTAACTTTTAAGATAAATGAGCTGTGTTTTTGTTGGCAACACTGCAGATATTTTAAAAATTGAATGAATAAATTAGATAGGACTAATATAAATATCACACATCTAAAAAGTCTTTCAAAAGAGTAGTACGTCGCTTCTCAGCAATATCCATTTGGTTTTCTAAATCCCCTCGGTCTGTGGTTTCCGCCCTTTCTATTTTCCATGATAAATTTTCAATTTCAGCCTCTAGCTGGGCTTGCTGATATTCAAAGAGTTCTTTTCTTGAACCAGTATCCATATAGTAAGCATATGGATATGTATATTGCAGAGTGTACCGGCACTTAGCTAATAGATTGGCTGCAGTAAATAAATATTGCCAGTCAATCCATGTTCCCAATCCTGACATTACTTTTTGGTTTATACGAGACCTGAGCTTTTCCAGAGTTTGTTCCTCTAGTTTTAATGATTTTGAATGATTTTCCCATCTTTCATAGTAGTGGAGGTACTTTTTCAATGCTTCCCTTGCCTGTTAAACAATATTCATTAGCACACAATTATTTAGAAGACAGATTTGGTCATTTCATGTAGAGAATGTAACATAATGCAGTGCAAATATTTGGAGAGGTAATAGAATATTTTTTTAATTTAATTTCTTAATTTAGCACTGAATTTCCGATTTAGTGCCATACTAAGCCAATACCAAGAAAACAAATTAAGTGACATTAAGAAAATTTCATGCTTGAATAACTTAGTTATGATTAAATATTTGGTTGTCAAATACCTGGCATTATGTTACACCCAAATGTAGTTTTGAGTCTCATAATCAATATAACAAAATAAATTCATATAGGGTAGCTACCAAAGTCTGATTTTAAAGTTTTTCCATGATTAATTTCTCAAATTTCCCTGCTTTTTGACTAATTTAACTAAAATAACATGACTCTTTTTATGACTAATCCAAATTCCCTCATTTTCAAGTTAACTTAAGTTATTTAGGTGTGAAACTGATCATCCAAAAGATAAAAATTTTGGAAATATACAAAACAATTTCAGCATTTCTCTTTCTTACTGAATAAAATAAAGCTAGAATTTGCTTTAATTTATTAGTTGAACAATCAGTTTTGAACCACTTTATATGGAATGGACAAACATTATTTACCTGAGCATGTACAGACTCATGAGCAATATTAGGATTCTCCCTATATCGGGAGCACTCATAATATTCAGACCCATGTGACTTCCAGTCTCCCAAACACATCCAGCAAAAATCATGTTTACAATTATAACATTGCATGTGGTTACAACCACCATTTTTTTCAATACAAATGTGGCACTTGGGACAGTCTTTAGTATGTGCACTTATATAATTTGCTGTTTCACTGTCATCAGCACATTTAGTTAACCATTTTTTGATAACCTGACATTCTGTAGGCGCATGGTAATCACATCCACATCTAAAGATGGAGAAAATAAGCTTAATTTATTTTGAAAATATAAACCACTGATTTTAAAACAAAGTCAGTAGCAGAGACGAAAAACTACTAGACTAATTTTGTTTACAAAAATCGAGTTGCAAACATTCAAGGTGCCATCCACATAATTGTCAAATTATTATGAGTATTGTTACAAGGATTGTTCATGGTTATAATTCAGTATTGACTAAACATAAGAGTCTAAAAGCACACAAAATTTCAAAATAACATTAGTGAAGTATATTTTTGCATTCTTATTGCCAGTTATTATCAATTTAATATATTTTTCTCATTGTAACTAATATAGTGTTTATCAAGAAAGTATGCAATTCATTTTGAAGTGTGACAGCAATGTAAAACAAAAAGGTGTGGCTTGTATGGTGAACTATAAATTCTGTACCATCCATGAATAAGTGGATAAGTCAAATTTTAGTAAAAATAAGATACCTACATATATCTATAGTGCTCTTCCCATTTTGTCTGGTGAATAAATGGTTAATTCAAATTCACAATAGTTTATTTCAGAGGATGCTTGTAAAACAAGTGTAGTTATACATAAATAATGATTCATTCATAAAACTCATGCTCCCTTCTTATATAAACATAACACAAACCAACCTAACTCAAATTAGCATCAGTTTCCTTGTTTCTAATGTGGCAGCCAATGTGACAGCTGTCTGTGTAATAATAAACACAATCTGAATGATTGCAATAGAAAGGGGCTTGATTATGAATGAATAGATTAGTCTAGTAGTTATTCGTTATTGGTCAGTAGTATCTGGATACCTCAATTTTTTGAATATATAACTTACTTAAAGCAAAACACTGTTTTGCATTGATTGCAAGTTGACCTTTTAGCCTTAACTTCTTTACTGTGAACTACAATGGAACAATTTGGACCTGGACAAAATCTCAACTGAGGGTGAGATTTAACATAATCTTGAAAAGAAAATTGTTGATATTTCTCCCTCATATTGGGACGCTGTAAGTGTTTAAGAACAAAATCTTCTGGTGCCAGAACAATACAATTTCTTGCCATACATGCTATACCTGTAGATATTCCCTGAAATGAACTTAGTAATTTTAGATGATTTTATATAAATAAATCAATGTTACATACCTGGTTAATTTGTACTTCAAAATGCATAGACCAACAATCTCTACAGAACATGTGTGCACATGACAGGCTATAGAATCTGTCTAGGGGCTGCACTGTAACACATACCGAGCAGTTAACATACCTGGTTAATAATAAACTACCAGGAGGTGTAGCAGGTTCTATTCTAGCTGCAATCAATGTCCGAGTAGAATTTTCATTGAATTTTTTAGTTAATTCACTTATATTCCACTGGTTACTGTGTAAAAGAACCTACAAACATAACATAACTAAAATTGATACTTGAGTGAAGTATTATTCATACTTTTGCTAGGGATGGAGGAATTTGTAAGTTGTTACTCAAAGTTTCCACAGTTTCATTGAGTAATCTATCAACTTGTTCTTCTAGAAGACAGCTAAATTCAAAATATTCTGGATCAATTTTCCTGGGGTCTAGTTGTTCTATGTCAATATCATCATTAGTGTTATAATAATCATAATACTCATTATCAGAATAGTCCATATCAGATTCACCACCCTGAGAAGTAGTCATTGTATCTTCCATTTTTGCTATGTTTTAATGTTTAATTGTAAGGATTAAAGTTACAAAAAAAAGGGGAAACATTTTTTTATCGATTACAAGGCCTGTATTAATCACAAAGCAACACTTTTTGGTGAAATTGATCACCTGTTTACCAATGTCAAAATCACGTCGCCATTGGTATTGGTATTCTCTTTCTAAGCAATGGTGCCAACACGAAACACTATTGCCAATACCGAATAAACAACGCAAAACGTAGTAATGACGTAATTTGTGTTCAACTATCATTCTCATTGTCTGTATACTTATTCTATTATTTGAATATTGTATTAATTCATTCATTTAGAATGGTGTAACAAATTACATCGATCTAATATAGTGCATAAAAAAGCGCAACTTTGTTGGCAACATAAAGATGTGTTATTTGATTTTAAAAACACAAAATAAGAGGATACGGGTTTATCATCCACAAGTAATATTGTTTTGAATATTTAAATTCAACAAATTAGTTATTTATAATAGTAATAAAGAAAAATATCATTTCGTTAACATGTCGTCTCTGCAGGTAAAAGTCGCAAAAAAGTCGAAAAGGCGCAATAAAATTGTAAAACAGACGAAAGGCGCATAAATTGCGCTTTTGCACTAAAATTTAGCAACACTTTCCTGTTTAATGTACGTGTTGTCATATTTTATATTCAATCTTTAAATTCACTTTCACAAATAGTGAATAACATAACTCGCATTCAAATACCGATTTTTAAACGTTTATTTATAAAGCCTAAACATACTGTAGGTTTTGAAGTTTTTTGGTAGATGAAAATATATTTTTCGTTAAAAATGCCCTAATTTGACATATGTTGGCTAACCTGAATAACACTAAAACATGATGACAGTATACTGACATTGACATATTTTTAAAAATCGATTTTTTGTTTTGGGTTTTGGCAACAGTCATGGTCAGGCCAGTTCGTGCTAAAATGTGAATTTTGTTGCTACTATGAGACTAATTTAATACCCAATTAGCCGATAAATTCAAGGTAAACATAACTATAAAATAATAAAGATCAATAGGTATGAACACAGTGACATATTTTTAGAAAAAATAAAAATGGAAACTACAACTAATGGTGATTGCCAACAATCTCAAGAAAATGTACGAGTTTTTATAAGAATAAGGCCCTTAACTAAAAAGGAAGTTTCGGAAGGAAATGATAATGTGATTATATGTGACCATAAAGAAAATCTTATAGCTCTCAAAAAAAATGGGGAACATACCAAACCTTTTAAATTTGACCATATATTTGGACCACCAACAACTCAGGTATTTTTCATTAAGAAATTATTAAATGCATAAAGAACATTTGTACAAATGTACATTATAAATTGCTAATTTTTTTCTTCAAGGTTTTAACATAATATCTTTTCTGTTTTTGGTTAACTAAACTGTATAACAAAGAAGGTCAACAATCCTATTGTCTTGGGATTACAAATGTTTAATCAAACACCTAAGTAATAATGTAAATACTAATATTAATATTTTCCTACAGAAATAAATACAATGGATATTTAATGATCATATAGGCCTGTATTTTTAATTAAAAAGATAATAGAGTAATATGTAGGATGTAAACAAATAAAAGTTTTTAATTTTTTTTATGAATGATATTTAATTTTTTATTAGTTTTATTTAATCATTTTTCAGATTATTAAATGAATTTTAATCTTGAGTTATTTTAAAAAGGAAATAAAATTTTTAGAACTAGAGAATTTTCTCCAAATTAAAATTATCTGCTTCTTTCAGCTGGAAATGTACAAAATGACTGCATTTCCAATTGTAGAAAAAGTTTTGGAAGGTTACAATGGAACAATATTTGCATATGGTCAAACTGGTACAGGCAAAACATACACCATGGTTGGAAACCACTTAGTACCAGAACTAAAAGGCATAGTACCCAACACTTTTTCACACATTTTTAGCCAGATCTCTAGAGCCAGTGAAGAAAAATCCTTTGTAGTAAAAGTCACATACCTTGAAATTTACAATGAAGAGGTTAGGGATCTTTTAGCTCAGAATCCAACAAAAAAGCTTGCAATAAGAGAACGAAAAGATATTGGTGTTTATGTTAAAGATCTCATGGGCTTTACAGTAGATTCTATCCAGGCTGTTACAGAACTAATTAATAGAGGAAATAAAAATCGGATAACTAGGTCTACATTAATGAATGATGTTAGCAGCAGGTCTCATGCTATTTTTACTGTAACTATTGAATCAAGGAATAGGAGAGACAATAAAACCACAGTTGGAAAATTGAACTTAGTAGACTTAGCTGTAAGTAAGGAATATCTTAAAATGAATGATTATTCATTATTGAATATTTTTAGGGTTCTGAAAGAGCTTCCAGAACTCAAGCCACAGGTGAAAGGCTAAAAGAAGCTAGCAACATTAATTTATCCCTTTCTGTATTGGGAAATGTAATATCTGCCTTAGTAGATGGTAAAAGCACCCATATACCATATAGAAATTCTAAATTAACTAGGTTACTTCAAGATTCTCTTGGTGGAAATTCAAAAACTGCAATGGTAATGATTATTTCTTACACAAGTACATCAGTTATAAAAAACATTTTTTATTTTAGATTGCTATGATAAGCCCTGCTGACATAGATTATGAAGAAAGCATGTGTACACTTCGTTATGCTTCTAGAGTTAAGTTTATAAAGAACTGTGTTAAAATTAATGTAGAAGAAAAAGGACTGATAGAAGGATTTGAACTTGAGATTGCTGAGCTCAAAGATAGACTAGCACAATTAAGCATGGCCGAACAAAGACGTGAACAAAAAAAGAAAGATAGAGTTGTCAGTGCAGAGGAAAAAGAGAAGTCTAAACAAACTAAAATGGAATTAGAAAAAACTGAGTAAGTAAAATTGTACAGTTAGGAAATGTCCTAAACTTGTAAGTAGTTAAATCAAATTTATTTTCATCCTTCTTGGTTATAGGAAAATGAAGACAGAACTGGAAGAAAAAGTTGCTCTAATCCAAAAGAAGATTCTGGTCGGTGGAGAAAATTTGCTAGAGAAAGCCCAGCAACAGGCTTTCTTCTTAGAATCCTCAGCAGCTGAATTGGAAAATTTAGATAGAAGCCATCAACAATTAGAGGAGCAACTGAACAAAAAGACTTTAGAAAAAATAGATGTAGAAGAACAGTATTCTTCTATGCAAGAAGAAGACATAGGTCTTTCTAAAAAACTGAAAAAGATACAGACGTTTATCAAGGAAGAGAAAGAGGATCATTCTGATAAAGAAAGGGAATACCAAAGAGATTTAGAAGCTCTCTATGACAATAACAGACTGTTGGTACGAGAAACCCAACTGGCTAATCTTATAATTGAAAGCTACATACCTCCAGAATATTTGGTAAATATATTTCTTATTGGATTTTTTGTGTTGGGAAATGTTGCTGGTGATCCTGAAAGTTCTCTAAATACCAGTGTGTATAGTCTTTAAGACTCATTCAAGCTTTTTTTTAGAAAAAGATTCAAACGAACATGATATGGAGCAATGATGGTCAAGAATACCAAATGCGGGGTGTTGCTTATACAGGAAACAATATGAGAAAACGTCAAAATGCAAGTGTTGAAACTTTAGCCCAAGTAAAATTCGATATGAAGCAACCTTATCACAAGTACCCTGAAAGAAAAAAGGAAAAGTTAAGAGAAAAGCGCCAATTGCCCAAGAGCTTATCTGCTGCACCAAAGTCACATTAGTAGGTATTATTTGTTTTAAATATTTTGTTCTTAGACCTTGAAGCATTCACTAGATAAGTAACGAATTTTTAATATTTACCAGTTACTTCAATTCTATTTATCTAAAATTGATATTGCTTCATATTGTTATTTTTTTAAAAACAAGCAAAATCATAATATTAAAAATGCTTATGTTACCTTTAGTTTGAAAGAGTTTTTGACACATCTCTTCCAAGTTTAATTTTAAAAGGAAGGACTGTTTGTTGCTTGGTCTAGTGATTGAAGGCCTAATATTTTCTCCTGCCTTAAAAATTATTCACAGACATTTACCTAGATTTTTGTTATATCAATTAATATTTTAACAGATATAGCAATCCATTTAAAACTATACAAAAATTTAAAATTTCATGAAAACGATTCAGATGCAATGCAAGATAATTGTTTATATTTATAAATTACAGTAAATTATTACACCCTCATCTGACTGCGAAAAATGGCCTGTTGTGTTTTTTTGCTTTCTATTTGTAGATGGGTACAGGGAAGTGGGCGAACAACATGTATTATGTCCCGGTGGTGGGAGTTGCCATGTGACCTGTCAAATTTAATGTAAAGTGCTTATTGATGGAATTTTTGATTTTTGGCTGGAAATGAAATATATGCTTTTAGATGTCTATAATGATAAAAAGTCTCTCTGCAAGCAATTTTCTGTTGTCCGGGTTTTCTACTTCCGGTGTAGGGAATTGTAACCTTGAAATAGGTGTAAAATCAAACTTTCAACTTGAAAACATTTTTTTATTCAATAGTTCTGCCCCACTCACCATAAAACCCGGGGTGAATAGAAGATTGAATGGTTGAAATGTCAGTGAAACGGGCTCAGTTGTATGTTTTATTTAATTGTATAATAAGTTGTCCCGAGGTTATTGAAAACAGGACTAAACTAGAATGAAGATATACTTTTCACGTTGTTAATCAGATTTTTCCATAATCAGTAGGCTTCATCCCCTTATAGAGCTTGATTTTTCCTAAAAATTTCAAATTGATATTGTTTCTTGCATTTTTTTTTATATTTCAAACCCCCTTAACTTTTCCTTTCAAAATCAATAGGCTTCGTCCCCTTATAGAACTTGTTAAAAATTTTAAGTAACCTTTTTTAGTTTTTGATTTATGATTTTTTTAAAGTTCAACCCCCTTAACTCCTCAATTTTAATCAAATTTTTTTCAGAATCAATTGGCTTCGTCCCCTTATAGAACTTGATTTTCCTGAAATCATTTTTTTGTTTTTGACTTATTGTGTGGACAAAAACGTGACATCAGACGGACGGACATTTTAAAAAATTGATGAAAAAAGATTTTGGTACAAAAATTTTTAAATTTGGACCAATATTAAAAATTTTGGTTTCTCAAAAGTAAACCCATAATATTCTTCACAGACTAATGTGTGAAGAGTGTAATAACTATTAGCCATGGACTTTAGAATCTCTTGACACAAGGTCATGTCAAATTTGTGATCGCCGCCATGTTAGGTCAGATTTATGTTGGTATGATTATAACCATATAACAGTTAGTGCATTTGTCAAAGTTGCCCTATAATGACAGAATTAGGCATTCCAACGACCTGTCCAAATGGCTACCAGTGGGATCTGACAGTTTAGATATGGCAACCCTGTGGACATGTTATCATTAACAAGGTCAATGATACCTATATAATAATAATAATAATCTCCCTAATTCACGAGTGAATTTTAACCCCAAAAGCTGAGCTCGTGCAGGGAAAGAGACGGATATTATTATTATTTGCCGTGGCGCTCCGGGGCGACTTTAAGATGATTGATGGTGCCATTTGACTTACAGGTGAGGAAAACCCGGAAAACCGCACCCACCATCATCGGAGACGGTAATGCATGGCGATTTTATAATCTGCATGTCATATCAACAGAAATTGAATTTCTATTAATACGGCACACATCAAATCCTATACCGAATCATGCAATTTAATTAAAAATCCACATGCTCTGGGTTGGGATTCAAAGCCCGGCAGTCTCGTACCATAAACTTGCCTATAAATGAATATAAGCGCGTTAGACTGCTACACCACCGACCCGATATAGTTATATACATTGCTTAAAACGGGTCGTTTGCGAGCGGCCATATTGCCTGGCTAATTTGAATCGGTTTAGCAAAAATGTGTTTTAAAACTCATTTTCCGCCTTTGAATATTTAAAAAAAAAATGCCTACATTTTTACTTCAAGACATAAGCTTATGTTTATTTTTAAAACCACGGATGATCAATCTATATAACTGTCTGTATCATTGACCTTATCAAACCACCAGGCTTACAGTGTTGCCATATTATAACCTATCATGTGCCTGTCAGTGGCCTGTCATTTCATACGGCAAGCCAATTTGTTTGGAATGCCTAAGTACAGTTTTTTTTTGTTTTTTCAAATTTTTAATAATATAATTAAGTTTATAATTACCACAAAATGAAACATGGTGAAAGGTTGAGCTGTGATTCAAGGCCATGGCGATTCTAAAGTTCTACTGGTATAATTACGAACAAAGCATTTTGTCATTTGTTTACTTATTGTGTTTAATGCTTAACTTAAACAATAACGAAATAAATACAATTTTCAAATATTAAAACTGGTAAATCCAATTCTACACTTGATTTCCTATCATTATGGTCAACTTTGACACCTACAGTTATAATCATACCAACCTAAATTTTACCTCTCACGGCGCCCATGGTAAAAACTGACAAATTTTTGAAATTTCTGAAAGTGACACAGTTGTTTATGTTTAAAATTAAAGAAATGTCTGTGAATGATACATACAATTAGACAATCCAACGTACTGACAAAAAATGTAATATGGCAGACGATTGGCAAAGAAAAAAATATATCCTAACTTGTTTATTATTGTTTGACTGTTTTTATTGAGTTTTAAAACTATGCATCATTGATTTGAAGATTATCTAAAAGATTCTACCTTAATTTACTAATTAGTATAGTATTTAAGACTAAAAAGGTGTGTAATCAAAATACATTATTTAATAATCATATATTCTTAATGAATGCCATTTTTAAATTAAACCCCCCGAAAATAACTCTAAAATCATGAAAACAATACACACGTGTGACAAATGATCTCACTGAAAACGTCACAAAACATTAATTTTAATTGTTTTTTGGAAATCAATCATTTAAAGTCACGTGATTTGGATTGCCTAATTATTTGCTAGTGATTATGTTTGTTATTTGGTTGTATTTAATAAATCCTAATATTTGAAGTTAGTAAATTATATATAATAAATTGTAAAGGGATTTTAAAAGAAGAAGAAGAAGAAGGGAACGTTTTACAAAAAATTTCTGAGATACTTTAGTGCCAGTTTGCATTAAAATAAATGTTGACTAGTTACTCAGTAAGAATTTTATAATTTCTAAAAAAACCCAAAACGGTTGATCTTCTTTTAAAAACGGATTTTAGCAATATGTGGAATATCTAGTCCAGTTAAGTATTTTTAGGTAATTTTTAAATGTTTTTTATTTTTGCAATAGGTATAGATTTTTTTACAATTTTTTGAAACATAGATTTAAGTAAAAAATGAAAATCAAAAATGAACACATTTAATGATGCAGATTTTCTTACTTTGAAATATTTTTATGAGTACCTACCTACATTAGGAAAACATTAAGAAAATCCGGAAATAAAATGGCAAAATCTTATTTTTCTTAAAAGATATGATTAATCAGATACTAACTATTAAATAAGATATAGTTTCTTGGTAGAAATTTTGTTACACAGGTTGTATGCTACAAATAATGATCCATACTCTCAGTTAGCATCTGATAATTTTCTCACAGACAATACCAGAATCGAAAGGACTCTAAAAATTTTTTTCTTTGAGAAAATGTTTCTCAACAATTAGTAATTTTTAGAGTGAAATAATAAATGAATTTTTCATCGGTTTTCGATTAGATCTGCATACTGGAGATTTTTTGAGGAAAAGTTACTAGATATTAATCACTGGTACATATATAAAAATATTTCAGATTTTAGAAATAGTTTTTATCTTCACTTTTTTTTGTTAATTTTACGTCTGATTTTTTTTTAACAGATCTCACTAGGTTCTCGAATGGCGGTTGTTTTAAGTTACTTTAAGTATTAAAAAATATTTCATACAGATTTACAAAGCAATATATGAACACATTATTTTTTGTGAGATTAGTTTATCTGCCAGTATTTTTCTAGTCGATTTTAATCAATAGATTAAAAATATTTGAGACTGCTTTAATTAAGCTTTATTTTAGTTTTAATATGTATAGCAACTTTGTTAAAAAAGTTTATTATTGTAACATATTGTTAATTTTACTTTTCAAATGTTTAGTTACCTAAAATGGCCAGTATTAATAAATTGTGATGTATCCCTTTACATGCAATTATTCTTTTGTTAACTGCTACTATAATAAATTATTGACTAATAAAATTTAAATTTTTCTCAAACCATTTAAAACGAGCATGGATAGAAAATCACAAACTAAACTTGCATGTTCTCATTTTGCTTTTATAATATACACCTACAGTGACGGTATCCATAAACATGAGCCTCTCCTTTATTGTTGAATCAACAATATCAAATATTGTTCCTTGTGTAAAGTGGCGACAGGTCAAATTTTATGAAATTTTGGTATGTTGTTGTAGTCAACCTAGTAACTAAAAGTGTCAATGGACTCAACTCAATCCTATGACTAGTTTTCGAGATACGGGGTATTAAAATTTTCCGAAATTTGTCTTTTTAAATTTACGAGCTAGATTGAATTTCTTTGGCCATTCACAGGTTTACCACATGTTTTAGTAAAACATTAGTACATATTATGTAAAATTAAAAATATTTATAATTATAGGGCGATTAAAAAAATGTATTACAGTAGTTTTTATGAAAATAATTAATTCTACTGTGACGTCAAAAAGTACTACTCAGTGCGGAATTTTGGCTAAAAAATATTGCACAGTACACATTTCTTATACAGTGATTTATAGAGAGAATTACAACATAAAATTATATTTTAAGGATTAATTCAAAACCCTTGTACTTCAAAAAATATACAATGTGATTTATTTGTTACATGGTATTCTATTTTAAGAAAAGTACAAAACCATGAACATTCTAAAATTTCCTCTTTGAAATGTAACCATTTTCTCAATATATAATAATTTTGACACCGTTTCAGTTAACATTTTAAATCCGATACTATGACCAGTTTTCGAGATATAGGGCGTTAAAGTGGAGATACTTTACAATTTACGTGTAGAGCGAGTTATATAATAAATTAAAAATTGTAAAACTTATAACAGTTATTATCCCGCTTATTATTTTTAGCAGAACAATGTTAATTTAGAATATTCCATACCGGCATGAATGAACGTAAATTGCAACAACTATGAAAAAAAAAAATAACTGAAACGTTCACCTCATTTTCACACCACCACTGAGGTAGAGGTTGAAATTGTGAACGGTTAGATATTAACTTAATGAAATAATTTCTCTGTAGCGCAAGTGTAGAATTATTAAGTGTTGGAAAAAATATATTGTGAATTATTTGTAAACTGTCAATTATTATGGACGTCTGACCAAAACTTTTATTAAACTTATATATGCTACATAAAGTCAATCTAGATTTTCAAATTGAAGAAAAAATAACTAAAATAAGCAATTCTTTCACTTTAACGCCCTGTATTTCGAAGACTGGTCATAGTACCGGATTTAAAATTCATATTATTAACACGGTATTAAAGTTACTATATACTGAGAGAATATTTCCATTTGACTGGAGAAATTTTAGAATACAGGATGTTTGTGGTTTTTGTATTTTTCTTAAATATTTTAGTGGTATTTACCTTTCCCAAAAATCAGTTCAGGGTACTGGGTTTTAAATTGTATGTTTTCTCTATAAGAAATGTGTACTATGTAATATATTTTGTCGACAAAATACCATATAGAATAGTACTTTTTGAAATATGTTTCCTTGACGTCACAATAAAATTAGTAAAATTTTACAAAAAAACTACCGTCATAAATTTGTGGATCACCCTGTAATTATAATTTTTTTTAATTGTATGCTAATAAAACGTAGTAAACGTGGATATGCAGCAGAAATTCAATCTATACTGCTGGCCACTAGATTTTTGCATGACTTCATTGATCACCCCGTATATAACAAACCTATGGTCCTACGATAAATTTACGTTATGTAGCTTAAACCTAAAAAAACTAGCTCTTAAAATCTTCAAGCCGCGTTCAAAAATTTGCATTCCTGTTCAAAATATTGAACTTTAAATTTTGCCTAAAAAATCTCTATGTGTAAGTTCGAGAGGCCAGCAGTTTAGTTCATAAGTTTGAAAATAAGAATTCCGAAAACTGGACAATTTTCAACTTTAACACCTCTTATTTCGAAAACTAGTCATAGGATTGAGTTGGACGCTATTTTTATTCTAAATTTATGACAAATGTGTAAATGTTTTTTTTAAATAATATTTTCATTGTGTTCGACATAAAATATTTAGTTCATTATTCATGATTTCACGTGTTGTAGATAGAATACATCGTATGTCGCATACCAACCCTTTTTGACAGCCATTTCGTTTGGAATGAAATAATATTATAGCATGCAAATTCCGTCTTAATATTACGTACGTAGACCTAGTAGTCACTACCAAAAAGTAAATAGACTAAATTCAAGTTGGCGCTGTTGAGTTTTCTTCAGTTTTTTTCTTTTCCAAAATTGACAGATATTTAAACGGCGAGATTTTATTGGCCGAAAACCTAGGCCACTCGCCCTTAAAACTAATTTCCCTATTGTTGCACAATTAGGCATTCCAACGACCTGTCAAACAATAGGTGCCAGTGGGAAATTCTTGTATATCTAAGAGGGTAGCGACATAATCTTGCAACTTGGACGCTATTTTTATTCGAAGTAGTAGTCGCCAAGCCTGCCAATTTATGAAGAAATGTATAGGTGGGTTTTTTAAATATTATTTTTATTGTGTTTGACATAAAATATTTAAATGTTATCCATTATTCATGATTTTACGTAAAGTAGATAGAATACATCGTATGTCGCCACCCTTAGATATACCAAACCTTCCCACTGGCAATTCATTTGTTTGTAATGCCTAATACCAATCGAGCGGAGGTACTGGTGAATTTCAAAGTAAAATACGTGAACGGCTTTAATTGTAGTAATTTTTAGTTTAAAATCGTTAGACGAATCCGTTAATTTAACTTTAATAAAAAAAATTGTGTTAGTATTTGTAACTTTTGTCACTTTTAAATAATTGTGATAGTGTTAAACCTCCCATCCGGATTATGTTGAATATAACAGAAAAATCATTTTTACAAGTTGCCTTCTACTCTGCTACAATGAAATTTGATGTCTGTTCAACATCTCAAAATGATCTATGTAAGTATATAATTCAATCGATTGAAATAGAAGTTTATAGAGAATTGATTACAAAATCAAATAATAATAGTTTGTTACAAGGACAAAAAGTTGAATTAAGTTGACTAGGAGAGATCCTAACAAATACCTACTTTTATTAACAATATAGACAAAATTAACAATATAGAAACTTTTATCTGAAATCATGTGACTTTTCCAATTTTTTTATATAGATGGGATATTATTTTCGATAATTATTGCTGTATCTAAGGGAACCGAAGCAGAACACGATCGTCTTGGCACCAGGGCCGTATCCAGGGTTAGTTGGTATAGCCTTATATATTTAGTTTTTCTCACATCAGTTAAAAATGCTTGTATTCAACTTTGATGTGCATTCGTTGATTATATAAAAAAACTATGACCAACTGTATTAAACAAAGAAACTGAAAATAAAAAAAAGAATGTTTAGAAATCGAAGTCACTTGACCTTTTATATTTGCTCATTTGAAGTACATAGAAAAGTTCTACTTTTCTATTACGTTTTCTGCCTGAGAAACAATATTTTTTTGACACATTCAAATAAAAAAGTATCTTTTGTACTTCAATAAAGTTTTTTATTTTGACATATAGACATGCGCATTCACTTGATATTTTATGGTACTTTTAATAAAATACTGCTAGTGTTTTATTAAAATAAGCCAGCATTATTCTGGCTTATCTGACTGTATTTAAATAAAGAAAAGTGCCTTTTATTAAAAGTTCTCTTATTTTGACAGTTTCTGACCTAATATTTTGATTCTTATCTACATTTCTACTCTTTACCTGTTATATGTATGCTGTATGTTATTTGTTTAATTTTAAATCAAATAACTAACCCTCAAATTAAAGAATATATAATACAGTAAGTCGCTTTCGATAGTTTAAGATGGAATTTGCGTGCCATAATTTTTACATCAAAAACTATTAATTAAGTTGGCGATCAGATGCACTACTGCGTAATAATTCAAATGTTCAATTATCCTCAGAAAACACTTGCGTAGTTTCGACGTTTGCATAGCTCCTATTATTCCATTAGCAGAGTATTATCCACATTTCAACATAGGTGCAGGTTTTATAGTGTTGGGCTGTTGCTGTCTCGGGCTCATATTTAAATAATTTTATGGACCACAGTACAAATTTTAGGGCAAAGTTTCTTTTATTATTGACTGAAGAAGACCATCCAATTGTAGCTGAAACTTTTGAGAACATAAACAATTTTTTAATTTTAATTACAAAACCTTATTTCCAAGCAATCACCTAAAAAAATGTAACAAATAATATGGTCAAATTTGGCTTGATTACTAGATTTTATACAATTTTTATTGTTTTGTGATATAATCTATGAATGTAACTCTTATATTCATCATGGCAACAACATCATTATTACTACTTCTTTTATTAAAAATATTTCATTTAAATAAAAAAAAACTACATTTATATAAAATATATTTTAATTCTATATACACATATATATCTTCACTAAGGCAAGTTTCAGTATATAAAAACATCTTACATAATAAGATTCTTAATATATTATAAAGGAATAAAAAGTGACATATTTTGTACTAACCTCGAGTTGATTTCAGAAAAATATACGGTAGGGCTGAAAGATATGTATACCCAAATACATTTTTGGCTATATCTGTTTAATTTTCCTGTATATTTTTGAGAAATGAGATACTATATACAGTTTTAAAACCCTTTTTGCCACTTATTTAATATAAATTATATACATTTATTTTTTGTTTAGATTATATTAACAGTATATTTGGTATATAAATTGTTAAATTCTTTACGCTGATTTTTAATAAACTGTCACGTAGATACATAGATAGTGATAGGAAAGTAAATAAAATCCCTTTTAATTTTGACAGACACATGGTGTACCCATGAACCAGAAAGGCGTGCTTAAATCTCATTGTCTCTCAATTAAAGTCTGCGTAATAAAGTTAACAATCTGTATTTAAATAAACATCAATTTTATTAAAATTTGTCTACAATATTAAAAGTCCTTTCGTAGAATATCATATACTAAATTACCTATTATATTAAGGATAGAAGTATCAAAAAAATTATTTTAGTAGGTACATTAACTTACTACTATGCAAGTAGTTACAAAATCGAATTAAAGTTATAGGGCGAATAAGGTACAAAAAGTGGCCGATTTTGATAGATTGGTACGTAGTACTTTTGTGTTGAACAATTACCTATTTAAAATTTATTTATTCTCATTAATGATTTTTAAGGTGGATAGCAAGGTAAGTTCTAGTTATTTTAACTGTGTATGTGGTAGACATAGGCATGGATATGGCACTAGCTTATCCTATTGCGACCTTTGTTCATCCTTAGGTTATTTTTCTCTTGCCATCTCCTTTTCATTAGCTCTAATAAACTTCCCTCCATTACTTATTTATATAAGGCATCTGTTGTTGGCTTTTGCATAATTTGAAATCATATGGAGGTACTTTAAGAAACCTTTCAAAGCCAAGATTGGTGCAATTTGAATGTCGCAATAGGTACTTTGAATATTGTAAACAATTTCATTTTTAATTTACAATAACAATTTGTAAAAAAAATAAGTAGTTATGTACAATAAATATCTGACTGGATAATGAAGAAATCATATAGTGAATCAAAACAAATTATATTAGGGAAATATTTTGAAAGCCCATTAAATATGATAATTAAACATTGGGTGACATAATACCCTATACATTCTATGTAAAAATATTTAATTTAAATATTTTGTTTCCTTAATGGGGTTTATTCTGATTTTTTGTTTTCTTATAAATCACAATAACGTTTTTAAATAATTAAAAACTGATCTTCCTATAAAAAATATAGGAAGAGGCAAACAAGAAATTGTTTTTGGATTATACACAATCTTTTAAATGACATTTAAGCTACACAAATATGTCGATGGCTTAAGTGCAAAACGTCGTAACCCACAAAATTTCAAAAAATCGCTTTTTGCGTCATTGAAGTCGTATGTTTTAGCTGCGTCTTGTAAAAAACTATCGTAAGCAACAATATAAAATGAAATTAATTTTACGCGCCAAAACAAAAAGTTGCTCTTCGAAATTACATCTAAAGTCTATTTGGTTTTTTTATTCCCCTGTAAAATTTACTTTTTGGGGTTACGACGTTTTGCACTCAAGCCATCGATGTAGTACCTACCTAATAAATATAAATTATATAATATAATATTTTCAATGTCATCTGAAAAACAGAAAACAAATAAATATGCAGAGCGATGGTGTGTAGAGATGTTTCAAAAAATAAAGTTCCGATCATAATTGCTTAGAGCAGGGTTTGACATAGGTATTATGATTGCCAGCAAAGCTGTTCAGGACATCTGATAGTCATGTCGGTATGCTAGGGTGACCATAATTATTTTGACCCAATGATGGAGTCTTATTTGTTACGTTCAAGTAAATTATGTATTATATTGCTGGACAATAATGGCATTCTGTTGTACAAGAATAAATGCTGGACAGACTTTGACAAGGCTGTACAATACAGCAAAATGCTGTACCTCTGGTCACCCTATCGGATGTGCATTAGATTTTGCTGTTTTGTGATTTAAGTTAAATTTATGGTTTTTTCAGTGGCGTAGTTTAAGTCTGGGAGGTAGTGGTAATATTTATGACCTTATTTTTGATAATAATACATTTAGTACCTATAAAACGCTAGCTTTAAAAATTCTTGGAGAGGTAACTACCCTCATTACCGTATATGCGCCCCTGGTTATTTTGAGAGGTTTTTTGCTGGTTTGAATTTATGCTTCACCGATGGTTCCATGCCAAGGTGAAACGATTGGAGTTATTCGATTCGACTCTTGTGGGTAGAGACGACCGCCCGGTCTTTTTATTTCTTGAAACACATCTAAGGAGTCTTCGACAATACTCATATCCCACGTGATCTGGTTAAATAATAATAATTTAATGAAATTGGCCGTTGTTAGTGACTTTTATGACAAGTATTGTAACCTACCTCACCCAGGTACCTTAATAATTTATTAATTCCATTTAGTAAAGATAATTATTGCATTCTTATTAAATTCGAAATCCTTCATTTAATGAAAAATCCCCCAGATAATTAAATCTTATTTACGATTTACCTTAATTAACATTAACACAACGTGGGTATATAAATTATCAATTAATTAACTCAACGATCACTTTTACTATTAGAGGAAAAAGGCCAAATACAGTAAGTATAAACAAAAATAAAATAAACTTGTGAGGTAAATAATAACATCTCAGAGAGTAAAATAACGATCAAAGGGGTATAAGGAGTGGGCCGTTACAGTATCAGTTCTGTCAAATAGGTCAGTGACATTGTTTCAGTGTTACTTACTACTAAAATTACTATTTTTTTTTTGCGAACTGATGACATCAATTTAGTCACGTGGAATACGGATATTGTTGAAGATTCTGTATCTAATATTTCTGAAATATACCGGGTGTTCAAATTAAAGTGTTACAGTTAAATACCGCCGAAAATATGCATTTTAGAAAAAAAAGTGTCAGACCAAAGTTTTATAGTTTTTTGGGGGAAACATTTTGGCTAAATTAATTTTTTTATAGCTGACCATAATATGGCCATATCGAGGTGGAATTTTTTTTTTTTCAAATTGGAACCCCAGTTTTTTTATTGGACTTTTACTTTTTGAGTAACAGCTACTTGAAAATTTTGCTGCCCGAAAGAAAAGTTGGCTATATTATGGTTAGCTATAAAAAACGATTTTAGCCAAAACTTTTTCCCCACAAAACTATAAAACTTTCATCTGAAACGTTTTTTTTTTATATAAAAAGCGGTATATAGCTGTAACGCTTTAATTTGAACACCCGGTATAGCCTGTTAAACCCTAAACCAACTTCTTATATCTCATAATATATTTTTAAATTATTTAGACACTCGAATTTAATGTAGCTATTCAAATAGTTTGATTTTTATTGGCTTAGGTTATTCAGAGAATTGTTATTCTTATAACAATAATTTATTGCTTCACAATTCGCACATTTAAAAATTGTGAACATCTGGTTAGCTAATATTCAAATCTAAAAAAAGCAACTTGTAATAAAACCTTCTGAGAATTTGTTAATAACAAAGATATTCATGATACACATGTTTAGAGATCCTGTAAAAAATGATGCGACTTTATATAAATAATGTAAATAAACAGAAAAACGATGAAAATCATGAAAAGGAAACCCCATATAATATTATATGATAATAAAATAAATAAATGAAATACATATTATTTTTTTACAATTTTTGATTTAATCAAAATGTACGTATACATCTTGAAAACTAGGAAAGGTGGTAGAACGTTTTCGCTATTTTCCAATAAAATACATTGTTGAACTCTATTTTGTTAGGTACTAGGCGATTCCTAATGCATATTCAATATTCTATACTTGAATATACAGTGTGTCCCAAAAAGTTTTATGCAAATGGGAAAGATTTTTATAAAAAGATGAAATTTGCAAAAATAAAAAAAAAATTAATACACACTTTGGCGAGAGAATTGCTTTTGGATTATTTATTGAATACAGTAAATCGAAAACACTTAAAATTAAATACATTCATTCCTATCAACCAATTAATTAATATTTTCAGGTTTGGTAACCTATATTTTACAAAATTTATTACTTTATTATGGATTCCCATGTGATGCAGAATTTTTTATGAAGAATTAATTTTTTTTATGAAATAAAAGACTCCAATTTATATAAAAACATTGAGACACCCTGTATATGCAACCTTACCAAACACCCGAGAGGTAGATTTATTTGATCGAATATTTATTTCTGGAGCTCTTTGAGTATTATTTACAGTCCATTTATTGCTTCCATTGAGATTTTGCAACAAACTGAATTATTTTTAAACCAAAGTAGACAGTTCGTGAGGGGAGTTTGTGGTACCCACACTACTCATGTCCATGGTAACATTAGGCATACCAGGACTGACCGAACCGCTGGCCTCTCTAGGATGTGACATTTTCGTCAAATTCAAATTATCTCCGTTCGGCGGTGTGGTGGTCGCAGGTCTGACAATATAAGGCCCGTTGTGCACCGAAGCCAGAGGATGGCCGAAGCTATGGTTGAAGTTACTGGTATGGGAGTGGTTCATTTGAGCTGGTTGTGGAGAAGCGAGGCTATGAAAAGAGTTATGATGTAAACTTGTTTCGTGATGCTGGAGAGCTAGTTCTTTCACGGCGTTGGTTTTTTCTTTTTGCCAGATGAAGACGTTGTGAACCATTGCGCAACCGCAGAATATAATACCCAATCCTATGAAGACACTTGTCACTATGGCAGGTGTTGAGTGGAACTGGATGAAAGTGTACAAGATGATACCTGAAATATTGTTTTTATTATTTTATATTATAATATAAAAAAAGGATTTTATGTTAAGGTAAGTTCATAAGTTGCACTAATTGAATCAACTACAAAACTGTTTTTAAACTGAATCGACTTCATCAGAAGAAGTGTCGCTATTAAAATTAATTACGTGGCAACAAATTTGTCAATCTTGATTTTACATTAAAAATAACGTTTTAAAACTGCACGGTCATACTAGTCGCACAAAATATCGGTAGAAACATAATTTAAATCTAGATTATGCATATAGTTGAATGTAATGTTTGTACTAACATAATTAAAAATCTATTTGTTTGCAACACCTCTACAAAATGGGTATATTAAGGTTTTTGGTAACATTTATGAATTTCGGATATTTTAAAGCAATGCGATACTTAGTGTGGTCCTGGCGAATACCAATATAATATCAGTAGCGTACGGTTGTTTACGATGCTGCAACTTGGATTTAGACAAAGTTTAGTGTAGGATACAGTACAAAAAAAATAAATCGGCTATCCTATAATAGAAGCAATGGAAGCAGTTGTCCTTAACCTCAAATCAATTAAAGCCTTATATCCAATTAAGATTAAGTAAATAAGTAAGGACTGTAGTTCACGTGGCCTTTGTACTGTTTAGAGGGCTATTTATTAATTTTTAAATAAATAAGGTCGTATATTGAAGATGAAGCTCGCTGCGGACACTGGGTAGAGGTCACCAAGAAGATTATGGTCGTTGTCATTTTAATACCTCCCTATGAGACTATATTGGTAAATTTAAGATTTTAGTATTCTAAAGTTGGTTTTTTGTATACAGGGTGAATCCTAATTTTATTTTTTTAACTGTAGAAATCGTTAAACATCTTTTTCAAATAACTCAAACATAAGGAAGATAAATAATTAAAAAAATAATTCCGACCCTGTAATTCTGTTTCAAACATTAAATTAAATGAGAATTCTCTTTACGTTTTTATCGGTTTTACCTTTAATTAGGTTTGTGATGCGAAGCATTTCCGAACAATTCCGTAATACTCTAATCCTTTAAGTTTCAGTGTTGCAACCATACTTTCCCCGGGACTCAAAAGCTTTGGTTTTCCGGAAGCTGCCCGCCGAGTCATCGGAGGAACGTCTGCGTTTATGGTTAGAACTAAGGCGGTATCTGATAGCCTTCGAAGCTCCAACTTTCTTTCTTCATCGATGAAAGCGTGTTTGGCAGATGTTTTCGCTTCTGTCCGTCTTGCGACGATCCAAGAATTTCACCTCTAACGTCGCAATGTTTACCTTGGGGTTCCGAAAACCAACAAAGTAGAACCGAGGTTCTATTTCATTATTCTATGCACACATTATTCAGGCGAAGTTTTAGCCTGCTTTAAGCACTCTCATCTGTTCAAAGTAAACGTGCCGGCCCACCTCGACACTCAATGAAGAGCACCGCGGCGGGATTAAGTTGGGCCGCCCTTGCGAGCTAAAGGTACGTTCTCCTACAAATTCGCTGGTCGTTGGTAGCCGCTACCGGGTAGTTGCTACACACGTCAGTATTTGTAGACGCTGTCGAATATCCTACAGTGTGAAAAATTAATATTAATAAAAAGACACTTATTTTAATGTTGTTAGATTACCAAGTTCAAGAGGAAAATGTGATTTTACTCTTAATACTAGATAATGAGAAACGCAGAAAGAAAGAAAGAATTGCCTATGTTTAAACATATACAAACAGAAGGATTTCAATTAATTTTAATAAAAAGTCATCTTAAAGATAATGAAACGAAATTTAAAGAATTTTTTCGTATTTCACGATATCTGTTTAATTATTTACTAAATGTAATGAACAAAAACCAACTAACGAATTGAGACGTTGCTCTGCTCTCGAAGCAGACAAACGACTGACGACCAGCGAACAGTCGTCGGTAGCAGCTACTTAGTAGCTTGTAGGAGAACAGTCTGATTAAATTCCATTGGAAGTACCTTGGCGACTTGGTAGTAGCTACCAGGTAGCAACTACCAGCGACCAGCAAATTTGTAGGAGAACGTACCTTAAGTCCATCGGCAGGACGTCCCGCGGCACGCCAGTTGACACCGCGTACGACGATCCACCGGCGCAGAACACAGATTCGACTACGAACCTTTTAACCGCAACAACTTTATTATACGCATACGCTATTGGAGCTGGAAATACCGTGGCTGCTGGCACCAGACTAACCAAACTACCCACTACCAGAGGGAGAATTTATTATGTGTAATGTGGGAATTCGAGGAGTGCTTTCACAAATTCAGGGGGGAATGAAAGAGTGCTAGGTTATTTTAGTAAAGTTCTCTTCATTATGTTAACCAATTGGTCGAGTTTTTCTTCCACCTCTTCTTCTTTTACACCCCTCACTTTACTGTATACTATAGAAGCTTGAGCAGCAGACAAGGCATCAACCAATATTTTTTGACGGGTTAAACAAAGTGTTTTCTGCATTTCATAGTCACGGAGTCCATAAACAAATGTTTTGACAGCTAGACATTCCTTCATATTTTCTGGAGCTAATGGTTAAGCAAAGCGTACCAACCTGGCAATATCTACTTCGTATTCTTGAATGGTCTCGTCTCGTTTCTGTTTGCGATTATTCAACTGTGATTGGTATAAATGCTCCAAGTGTTCGTGGTCATATCGCATATTTAGTCTCTATTTAAGTTGTTCAAAATAATCAGTCTCTTCCACAGGTATAGTCTAAAGGACAACTAAAGCATCTCCTCGAAGGGCGATGGTCAAATTTACTGCCTTTTCTCTTTTAGACCATTCGTTCTCTCTCGCAGCTCTTTCAAAGTGGTTAAGATATTTGGTCCACGACATCTTCCGGTTGAAAGTTGGGGCTTTAACATGGACAGAATTTACATGGCACTTTATTTCACCTTCCTTGACCTGTTCTGTTCTCTATTTCTTCTATCTTCTCCATTTCTTTTATTTTCTTCTCAACGGAAGACATTATTTTCTCCTTATATATTTTCCATAGAAGAAATTTTACTTTCCAAGTCGGAAGAAATTTCGTCTTTTAAAGTAGAGATTTTGTTTTCCACATCTGAAGAAATTCGTTTTTCATAGAAAATATTTCAGAAGACATCTTTTCTTCTAAGGAAGAAATATTTTTTATAGAAGAAACATCTGAATAAACTTTATTTTCCATGGAAAAAATATCGGAAGAAACTTTAGTTTCAAAGAATGAGATTTTACTTTCCATACTGGAAGGAATTGATGAAATTAAAGTAGCAGATGCATCATCCGAAAATAAATACGTTTCCGAATCCAAACCACCACTTTCTAATGCTTCTTTAAAGTTTCAAAGGCAGTTTGGCATTCTTTGTCCCAGCAAAATTCTTGCTTCTTCTGTAAGTCGCGTTTATGGCTTAGCAATATCTGCGAACTTCCTTATGAATCTTCGGTAGTACGTACAGTTGGCTGTGGCCACTGTTGGAAAGAAGCGACTCTTTCCTTATCTACAGCCACTCCAATTGTACTCACTATTTATTTACAGTATCCAACTTCTGACACCAATGTAACGATTGTTTATTTTAAAAACAGTTTTTTATTATAATTCATTTACACTAAATACTAATTAATTTATCTGTAATTAAATTAATATAATAATTTGACTATCTTCAACTGTATCTCGGCTTCGACTGATTAACTTTTTCTGCTACACAGACCATTTACTTATATATAAATTGGTTGTTTGCTCAAGATTATTCTCACTGCCACCATTTATTAGACGTGTCTCCGGCAATTTCTCGAATATGCATTTACCAAATTCGTCATCGTTTTAGCACCAGGGGTTGACTTATTTCTTTAAATATTTTTGACAATCGGACAAGTTGGGCCTTAAAAGCCCAAACAAGGCAGAGAGGGACTTAAAGGATTCGAGCATAACCGGATTGGTTGGAAATGGTTCGCATTATAGTATGAATCATGCGCCAGCTTTTAATCTAATTCAGTCGTCTGGGTAATTTTAATAGTATATATAATTTTAATAGATTTACCTCGCGAGTACATCACATTCCTAGAACTTTTATTAATCTGAGAAAATAAAACTCTAAATCTATCCCACATATACATATTTTTTTTTTCTTATTGAAGATGGCCACATTTGAGAGGTTGGATATCTTTCTTTGTTTTCATTAACCTAATTCAACGGGCTATAGTGATACATATAATTTGCGGCAACATCGTGGAGGACATGTTTCTTGGGATGTTTGGAAAAAATGTTCATTCACCAGAAAAACGAAATTTAAGAATATAATCTTCGAAATGAGGGAGGAGGATACTAAATTAAAACAATTTATGAAATTTATACATAACACATTGTGCGCATAAATTATGGAACCCTTATAGGTATAAGGTCTATATTTATTAATCGAACTCAAGTGGGTTTGATTCCTTGAACGAAAGTCGAAGACCTAACGTCCACATAAGTGGAATGGCCCGGCTTATCTACTAGAGTTTTTGCGATTCAATAATTGTTCCATGCTTGAAAAGGTAGTTAAAAAGCAAATTAAAAATTTAACATAAAAGCTGTTGGTATATAAAGGATAATACAGGAAAAATGTCGAACGAAAACACTCGAGAGTTAATTGTCATTTAACTTCACCTGATTTTGTTGATGTAAATCGGGCCACTTCAAAGCCCATTATTTACGCGCGCAATATATTTTTATTTATTCAATATTAAAAAATAACTTACCTGTTAAGAAGACTGGAATCGAGACAAAAAATCCTCCAACGGCACACACCCTACTAACTGATGATTTCTGCAAATACTTATTGGTCCTGAAATCAAAAAAAAGCTTTTTAATCGAAATATATTTTCCTACATGAAGATGAATGAATTACTGCATCTGCTTAAGGCTAATTTTTAGTTAGTTGTACACTATATAGTGCCGCATCCTGTATATCTATTCATTACGATTAGAGATAAATCACTAGAGTGAGGTCAACATTCTACCTTTTAAATTTTAAAAGTTGAACTCATTTATTTGCATAATATATGCAAATTTGAATATTTTTTCCCACCAAATACCGGTTTAAACAGTGGCAGTCATGTCATAGGTTTTGTACCGCAAGCAACATTAAAATAGAAAAATATAAATAGCGCATCTCAAAACTGTATAAGATGCAAATAATAAAATAAATACATTTTATAAGGATTTTTTTAGAATAGAATAGAATAATTTTATTAACTATTTTACATAAGTCATTATGTTTATAGCAAGTCATAGGTGGTAACAGAATTTGAACACTATAAATAAAACAATAATTATTAGAGTACCAGAATTTTAACAATGTAAATAAAAACAATAATTATTAGGTACTTATCAAGGTTAAAATTGTGATAAGGCAGAGTGACAGTGAGATGTCTCATATAGACCGAAAATGAGCTACATAATCTTTGACAGATTAAAAACAATGTCTCAATAGATATTTTTTTAATGTTTTTTTTAAAAGCATTATTACTTAAATTTTTAAAGTTCTGCGGTAATATGTTAAATGAGTTATAATTTAGGGAATTTATTTCAGATAGACATAACCTAAAAAGAGTATTTCTAATACAATGTGAATTACGTGTCTTGTAATTATGAATATCGGACTGTTTCAGCAAAACAGACTGTTTCCTATGAATTTCAACAAGTGTATGATGTAGATATAAAGTAGGTACTGGCATAATTTTAAATTTAATAAAATGTTGTTGACAATGTTCTCTGAATACAATGTTAGCCATAATTCTGATAGCTTTTTTTTTGCATCCGGAAGATTTGAATAGATTAAGAAGAGTTTCCCCAAAGTGGTACACCATAGCTGACATGCGAGTGAAAGAGAGAGAAGTACGTAGTTTTGAGGGTATTTAAGTTGGTAAGTTTTTTCAACTGCCGAAGAATAAACAAAGAACTAGAAAGTTTTTTCTTTAATTGATTAATGTGGGCCGACCAATTGAGTTTGTTATCCAATGTAATACCAAGTAATTTTACGTTTTTTGTTTTACATTTTGAGATAATTTGATTGGCAGATATCTGCATATTTTAAGTTTTTTCACTGTTAAGTTTTAATTTGTTGGTTGAGAACCATGTGTTTGCTTTGTCCGCAATTTCATCAAACGAAGAAATTAAATTTTTATTATTTTTATCTGTTACGATGAGTGTTTTATCATCAGCAAATAAAACTGATTTATTAGGTAGCATAAAACGGCTTAGATCGTTAACATAAACAATGAATAAAAGGGGGCCTAGGACAGAACCTTGTGGAACCCCTTGCCTTACAGCCTGAAAGTCAGACAGAACACCATTACTCATCACAGCTTGTTGTCTGTTACTAATATATGAATTTATTAGTGCAAGCGGAATTCCCCTAACTCCATAAAAGCTTAGCTTTTCCAGAAGAATATCTTGAGAGACGCAGTCGAAAGCCTTTGACAGATCGCACAGCATTACTGCTGTGTGATTTCCCTGCTCAAGTTCCTCAACTACATCATTCACAACATTGAGAACAGCCTGTGTAGTAGAGCGAGAGCGTCTAAAACCATATTGGGAGTTGCTGAAAAAGTTGTTTAATTCAAAATACTCACATAATTGTTTTTTAATAATTTTTTCAATAACTTTACCAAATATTGAAACAATACTTATGGGACGATAGTTATCAATTTTCGAGACATCACCTTTTTTGAAAATTGGTAATACTTTAGAGTATTTAAGTACTTCAGGAAATATACCAGTGGATAAAATTAAATTAATCAGTTCAATAAACGTTTTATTATAATATTGCAAGTCTCTTTTAAAATTTTACTATTGAGTTCGTGAGTGTCAACACATTTAGAATTTTTCAGAGAAGTAATTGCGTCAAAAACTTCAGACTCAAGAACAGGGCGGAAGAAAAATGAGCTACAGGGCATAGGAAAATGTTTAAAACTCAGAAGTTCGGCATTCGAAACATTAGGAAGAGATCTTATGATATTTGCAGCAGTTGTATTAAAAAATGTATTTATTTCATTTGGTGTTAAATCAGGAGTTACTAGATTTCTTTTTAAATTGTTTCTTTCGAAATTGATTATTTGCCAACATGCCTTGGTTTTATTGTTTGCTCAAGTAATATATTCATCATAGGCCAGTTTTTTTGTTGATTTCAATTTTTCATTGTACTCGCTTTTGAGTTTCTTGTATGTTTTTATGTCATTTGGATCTTTTGTAACGTCTGTTATTAGTTTGATGGCTGAGAGATCGTTTCTTAGAGATTTTAGACTGTTGTTAAACCATATTACTGGTGAATTTCTTAAATTATTCTTACATTGTCTCAAGGGAAAATATTTCATATTTAAGCTATGGCAAGTATTGATAAGAAAAGTTGACAAAAAAATTACATCATTAACTTTATTACAAAAAATACTCCAATCTATACTACTTAGAGACTGTTTAAACATCTTTATTCTATTATCTGTAATACACCTTTTAAGACATGTTTGATTTTTATTTTTTGTTTTAGACTATTATTGTAACTTACAGAAATGTATTGGGCACGGTGGTCTGAAAAGGAGGGTTCAAATACACCGGAAGTAAACAATTCGTTTGCCAAATTTGTAATTATGTTGTCTATACAATTTGAAGATGAAGCTGTAACTCTAGTATCATCATGTATTGTAAGAGATAAACCAAAAGACTTCACCAAACATTCAAAATTGAAAAGAATTTCAGATTGTGATTTAAAATTAATATTAAAATCGCCTATAATTAATTTGTCATACTTTTCTAGTAATTTGTGTAATACAAGTTCAAAATTTACAAGAAAAATATCAGTAGTTCCTTTGCCAAACCTATAGACAGTTAAAATTGTAGAGAGTTCTGCATTTTGTTCACTAATATATTCGCTTAAGTCAATTGGAAAATATTTCAAGAAATCTTTATTTTTTATGTAAATTGCTACACCCCCATGTATCATATTTGTTCTACAAAAAGAGTTTGCCAAATTGTAACAGTCAATATTAATGTATTTAAGACATGTTTCACTCTGCCAATGTTCAGAAAAGCAGACAACGTAAAAATTGTGATCCACAAGATTTAAGTACTGAATAAGTTAATAATAATTTTTATTGATTTTTCCGATATTTTTTTAGTCAATATTTATAGAGATCAAAATAAATACACAAAAGATATATACCTACACTTGTTTGCAGCTTTTTTCATTCAGCAAACAAACCGTTCACCTACACCGGTTTTTGATGGTCAAGCCTCGGCGCATATTTTTACTTTCCCACATAATATACAGTGTGTTCAGATAAACATCAATCAACCATTTATTATTAAACCTATTAACATTGGATATTGCTTCAAAAATGTTGCTGCTGAACTATTGTCACTATAATTTATTCTACAAATTATTTTGAGAATGAAACCATCAAATAGGGGTCAAAGTGTTTAAGGACGGGGTATCCCTGTGTATTAAAAGTGTATGTGTAGACCAAAAGTTAAATCGACAGTTTTCCGAATATGTAGTGTTTAAAAATCTAATTTTTGGCCAAATTAAAAATAAAGGTCTAACTTAGGTCACCTTACTATTGAAAATTAATAAATTTATTATTTTCAATAAAAACCAATCGTGTAAAATAACCCTCTTTTATTTCATCTCAAAGGTGCCGTGTAGATTTATTTTAACCTCGATGTCAAACAAATAATAAAAAAAAAATGTAATACGACCTAAGTTCAACCTTTACTTGGAATTTGGTACACTCAGAATATTTAAATATTGTATATTTTTCAAAACGTGTAGATTTGAAATTTATAAGTCACTTTCTTTGAAAAAACATGTCAAAACGAATTTGGACCAAAAATGGCGTCTAATTTAACTCTAAATAAACCCCGAAAAATCAATAATTACTTCATGTAATGTAATAAAGATGGTGCTCCGATCGATAATATTTTGACTAGTATTTGATTATTTCCGTTTATATTATGTGTGTTTACGGGGGATAAACGAGATGATAATACTGCCTCTGATACTGTTTATATGATACAATTGGAAACGACCTTTTTTCATCGGCACTCTTTTTTCGCCGGTGACCTTTTGACACGCGCCTATTTGTTATGTTATGATTATCGGTTATTTATCAACTAAAAGTATAGGAAATTAGTACATTGTGAATGATATCATTTTAATGCTATTTTTGAAACTAGTTCAAAAGTTGCATTTAACGATACTCAATGTTTCATTTTACCGTCAGTTTTAGTTTGACATATCCGTCATTTTAAGTTTACAAAGCTCATTTCTATTCGAAAGTAAGAGAAACAGTCAAAATAAAATGCGAAAAACACTTTTTATCAATTTCGTTTATGTCAACTGAAAGCGACAATTGCTGAAGACGTAACAAATAAATTAGGTCAAGAAATAAAAAAATCTATACTATAAGTAACATACCATATATTATACCTGTTAAAATAAATCAAAAATAAAAGAACGTATCGTTGACGTATATACTTTTCCATCTGTGATTAGTGATTACCAATTGCAAATTACGTATGAACATGCTTATGCGCAAAAAACCATTATTTCAAGTACTTGTATGATTAAAGTCCATTAAATTATTATTTTTATAAATTTGCTAATCTTTGCACTTTAATTTTCATTATATGGGGTATCCAGACATTTTAATCCTCGTCCTCTTCAATTTAAAATTATCTCAGGTGCCATATATTCCGAGTAAAATTTTTCTAATTTTTCAACCATATTTAAAAAAAAAAAAAATGGGTTGAAAATTAATTTTTTCAACAAATAGTGGATTTTCATCTCCA